GAGGTACGGTAGCATGAGGCGGCTCAGTGCAGCAGTGGCAGGGGAGGAGTAGCGTGCAACTACAGCGTCGTACAAGGTCTGAGCACTCTTGTACTGGCTAAAGTGCGCACGCTCAGAGGTAGGCAGGTGGCGACGCACAGCAAGACGTGCAGCAGCATCGCGCGTGGCCCACTGGGAGCGAACAGTGGCGTCAGCATCAGCAGCGGGGGCAGGAGAGGCACCAGAAGTGAGGTCAAAGAGGGAGAGGCCGTCTGCCCTATCGCACTGTAAGAAAAGCTGCAGGTCATCTATCCAGACTTCAAAGTCAATGGCCCGACCCTCAGCGTCAAAAGCGAGGACACTAGGGGTAGCCATGACAGCAGTAGACTAGCAGCGCAGACAGTAGGGTGAGGGCAGTGCTGTGAGAGAGGCGCTGCTCTTACCGGACAGGGCGGCTCGGGGGGGGGGCTCGGCTGCAGGGCGGCGCGGCGACCCGGCGGCTGGGCGGCTCGGCTGCAGGGCGGCTCGGCGACTCGGCTGCTCGGCGGCTCGGCGGCTCGGCGGCTCGGCTGCTGGGCTGCTCGGCGACTGGGCGGCTCGGCTGCTGGGCGGCTCGGCTGCTGGGCGGCTCGGCGACTCGGGTGGCTCGGCGGCAGGGCGGCTCGGCGGCTCGGCGGCTCGGGTGGCTCTGCTGCTGGGCGGCTCGGCGGCTGGGCGGCTCGGCTGCTCGGTTGCGGGGCGGCTCGGCGGCCCGGCGGCTCGGTCGCTGGGCGGCTTGGCGGCTGCGGCTCCTGATCAGGGACGGCGGAGGGGCTGGTGGGAGGCGGCGTCGGAGCCGGGAAGGGCGGCGCCGGGGCCGTAGGAGCAGGCGCCGGGGTCGTAGGAGCAGAGGCCGGGGTCGTAGGAGCAGGCGCCGGGGCCGTAGGAGCAGGCGCCGGGGCCGGAGGAGCTGGCGCCGGGGCCAGCCGAGGTGGCGTCGGGGCCGGGAAGGGCGGCGTCGATGCCGCTAGGGCGGCTCACGGTGGGCCGACGGGCGGCTCGAAGGGCCGCAAGGGCGGCAAGCGGGGCCGACGGGCGGCGCAAGAGGCCGCTAGGGCGGCGCGCGCGGGGTCGGTGGGGCCGCTGTAAGAGGCGGCGACGGGCCGCGAGGGGGGGAGGCGGCGACGGGCCGCAAGGGGAGAGGCGTTGACGGGCCGCAAGGGGGGGCGGCGACGGGCCGTAAGGGGGAGGCGGCGACGCCGCTGAAGGAGGCGGCGATGAGCCGCAGAAAGGGGGGGGCGCGAAAGGGCCGCGAGGGCGGCGCGACGCGACGGGGCCGCGAGGGCGGCGCGACGGGGTCGTAAGGGGGGGAGCGCGACTCGGGCAGAGGGTGAGCGCGCTCCGGGCAGGAAAAAAAATCGGTGGGCCCTAGGAACAGTTCCCACAGGGGAACCTGCTCTATACCATGTGAAATTGAGCGAGAATGAATTGACTAAGGGAAAGTTGGGTACAAATGCAAACCCTAGAAAACTGTACCCCATATGTGCTACCCCACTATAGCCTACAGTAGCTATGTCATATAAATCTGACAGTTACAGGCGCGTTTGCCTGGGGAGTTATGGGCGCACGGACCCACTACACAAACAAGCCCTTTTATCCCAATGGTCTAGTGGTTGGGGTTCTGACAATTTTAAGCGCACCCCTTTAGAAACATTTTCTTAATATAAGCGCACATGTAAAGTAGTTTTTTGTTTTTTTTTTTTTTTTTTTTTTTTGATTAGTTACAAAACAATGAGCCCTTCCAGGTCTACAAAGCTTACTATACTTAATATTCATTAAGCACATCAATGCATTACAAGGGTTTTCTCTAGTCATTTGCATGTCTAGCCTTAACAAGGCATTTCTAACAATGGTTTGCACCTCTACCTTGCCTAGCCTAGTGATGTATTCAGGGGAGTCGTCGGACTCGGGCTTCGGAAAGCCGTTGCCTCAGAAGCCATCGGCGTCGACCTGTCGTCGACGTCGACTTCCTGGGTTAGCTGACTCCTCTTGTGCGCCATGACGAGCTTGTCCTCACTCCCGTCGAGCTCGTTGCTGATGCCGTAGGTGAGGAAAACCTTCTTGATGAGGTCGGCGGGCACTGCCTTCTAGGCCCGGGAAATCCACCTGAGAACCACCTCAGGTGGTGGCTTCCTGATGTTGCCTGCACCACATGAAAGAGAGGGGGGAAGCGGTTAGAACAATAGAGGGGGGAAACAACACATGCGCGCAAGGATCGAAACCGGGTCCATCTCACCTTGTGCTGTCAGTGTGCTGATGCCATCCTCCTCGAACCAGCTCTGGTACTGCTGGCACACGCTCGCCTTAAACGACTTGTTGACCGACACGTCCAAGGGTTGTACCTCCGCCGTACAGCCCCCCCGGATGACCGTCGGGACGATGTTGAGCTCCTTGAACTTGGCCTTCACCTCGTCTGTCAGATTGTCTCGGTAGGAGTCGAGCCCGAGCATCGCACTCCTCACGCACGCTCCAAACTGGGGCTTGATGAAGGGCTTGACGCCCTTGTCGAGCCACTGCGTGACGCCCACGGCGTCCATCCATCCGTTCTTGTGGACCGCCATGACGACATCTGCATACAAACAGAGACGGTTGTTAGTTTTAAAGGAAAGGAAAAACAAACATCAGACAACATGGAACACAGAAGAAAGCTTACCGGATGGGAAGTTTCCCTTCGGCAGGGTCTTGCGCTTGAGAAACACCCATGGTTTCAGCTTCTCCCCCATTGTCGTGCATGCCAGCATCACCATAACCCGCTCCTTCTGGTAGCCGCCATTTCTGATGGGCAACCACTTCACGCCTGCTTGATCCATGGTGGTAGTCGCCAGCATCTCCAGCCACAGCGGTGTGTCGACGTTGATGATGTAGCGGTTGTCGATGTTGTACTCACGTCGCCGGTCTCGGACGTACTGGCAGAAGTTCTTGCACTGCTCCGCAACATCTACGCATGGGGAGGAAAGGGTGCAGCGTGGAACGGGTTAGTAAAATAGTAAGGAAATCCATCGAAATAACAACGAATTCTAGCAGCGGATTAAAGGAAAAACGAGGAAATCAAAGGCAGGATGGCACCTACGCTTGGATGTTTTATGGGCCACCTTTGTTTTCATGCGCACGCTGAGATTCCACAGTTTGCGGAAACGCTATGACCACCGCTGGCTTCCTTTCCACTTCACGTCCGGGAAGAGGACCTTCATGAACTCCCGAGACCACTCCTTCAGATGACCGATAGACACGGCGATACCCTTGCGACGCCAGTCGAGGAGCTGCACGTACACCTTCATCTCCACTGGCCGATACCACGAAGCTCTGTGCGCCATGGGAGTCTTTGAGAAGCTGCGCTGGGAATTTCCACTCGGTCAGGCACTTGCGGTTGATGCCTGACTCTCGCGCCACCTCGCTCATCGACGCCGCAACCTCTAGGCGCACGAGCCACCGAATATTTCCTTGGGAAGTATACGCTTGATGCTTATGCTGCGTCAGCTTGTGCCAGGGAGAGGGGGGCGGACATCACGGTTCTCAGAAGAAGGGTGAGGACGATTTCGGTTAGCTGGAGAAAATGACGGAATCGGCAACTTCTCAGGTAGGCCGTCGCGCGACCAGTACTCGACGACGTCGTCATCATCGGCGCCCATACGACCCTCGGGAAGCACATCAGCCTCGGTGCGTGCATCATCCTCGGCGCCCTCATCATCCTCGACGCCCACATCACCCTCGGCGCCCTTGTCGCCCTCGGCGCAACGCTCGTCGTCGGCGGCCACATCATCCTCGGCGCCCACAGCGGATTTGTCCCACGGGCACTCTTCAGGCTCGCCCCAACATAGTGCTGGTGCCGGAGCTTCGATATACTCATATGGGGGCTTGTTAGTTCCGGGTTCCGACAGGAAATCATCGAACGCCGATGGCAGCAGGAGTGTGAGGACGGGCCGATTCTTGAAAAGGAAGTGGGTGCTAGATTAGGTGCATAATTGGGCAACGAAGGGGACCTCGTCGGGTTCGCGGCTCGGGGTCCTCGACAATGAATGACGAGCAGGCCTCTGGATAGGATTTGATGTACTCTTTCTCGTAAGGCCAACACCCAGCTTTCACTCTTTCTGTAAGGGTTCCTCACAAAAACTACTCTTAAAAATCAGGGTGCAAAACAATCAAAATCTCCTGTAGTAATATGGCTAGCTATATTTACCCGTAAGGTGCTGGTGTTGCAGTGCGTTGCGTTGTCACATTTATGTGTACGGCTCAAGTACGATACCCGACGCCGGCAGCCGATGCGTAGTGGTCATTTACGCGAACAAACTTAGAATCCTCCCTTGTATTGAACTCGATTTCATCAGTGCTACTACACCACCTAGCTCTGAAATATCAGTGTCGTATAACCGAACACTCTTTTTTGTAAGGGTCATAAAAAAAACCAGTCTTATAAAAAAGGGTGCATAGTCAAACCCGGCCTTATAGTTAGTGTCATAAGGGTGAATCACCCTGATATCCAGAGGCCTGATGACGAGAAACCCCCGCCTGAACCCGCAAAGGTCCCTCCGTGGCACGATTTCCCGCTGCAATGGCAGGGAATATTCCACCCTCTTCTAGAGGGTTCGGCTCGATTACACCACCATGGCAACGCATGACTCTGTGATTGGGCAGCAAGGCAATTTGTGAGTCAGCGCTGGCTGGTTCGATGCTTCTATACTGAATTGTACAGTGGGAAACCGAATCGCGGCCGTTTTCCCCTAGTTTTCATGGACGATCCCACGTGAACAACGTTCGTGTGTATTCGTCTTTGAGAGCTTCATGTTGGTATGTTAAAAAACATTTTTTTCCTTTTACCGATGCATGCGCTTTTACTTTTTACTCAACCCTAAAAAATCCCGTTTTACGTATTATTAGCGCACCTGCGCTTATGTCCAGGGCCATACGGTATTTCAAACCTACGTGTATCAATCAACAAGTGTTACGACAAGGAGGCACTTATCATTCTGTTTGCTCGGCACACACTAGGCCCGTGCTCCAAGTAAGCAGCTCGTGTGGTGCACACCTGGTGCGGGATGCGCAGAGAGAGGGACGGGCAAATAGAGAAACAGGACAAAATGAGTTGAAACGAACAGATGAGTACGGGAGGCAAGCGGCCACTGATCATCCAGTTTTCTTGGCACATGCTTGGTCCATGCTCCAAGTAAGCAGCCCGCGTGGTGCACACCTGGTGCGGGATGCACAGAGAGAGGTGCCAAACAGAGAACAATACCTACATGGCTTAAAGAAAAGGTTGACAACAGGAGGAAGCTAACAACCAATGGAAAGGCAAACAGGAAAATATTGAGCTGCTGTCAAACCGTTGTCATCCTGGAGAGGAGGAGACAACCGAAAGATATAAAGAGAAATCTGAAACATGGTGATGTTGCTCACTCCTTGGAAAACCGGTGACGAGGCGGCAACTAAACACACTGGATTACCAGACACAGAGCTTACCCCTTGGAAACCCGGGGAGGAGGCGACAACAGAGCCCCCGAACCAGACGGCATGCTCCTGCAGATGGTGGGAGACCACCGCGACCTCTATGTCCGATGCCTTGGGCTGTACAGGGGAAGAGGGTGAAGGGGGAGGAGGGCGGTAGACGATAGAAAAGGTGAGAAGTGAGACTGTGAACCAGACGGCACACTCCTGCAGATGGTGTGAGTGAGACCATCGTGACCTCTGTGTCCGATGCCCTGGGCTGTAAGGGTGGGAGGATGGAGGGGCACGTGGGGGAAGGCAGTAAAGAAAGGTGGGTAGAGAGCCCCCGAACCAGACAGCACGCTCCTGCAGGTGGTGTCCCACCACCGCCACCTCTATGTCCGATGCGTTGGGCTGTACAGGGAGAGCAGGTGAGGGGGTTAAACAAAAATCAAGCATAACAATATTGTGGCGACGACAGAGCCCCCGAACCACTGTGACCTCTGTGTTTAATGCCTTGGGATGCTTGGTCAAGGGGAATGGGGAAGGGGAATGGACTAGAAGTGAGACTGTGAACCAGACCAGACAGCCTGCTCATGAAGTGAATGGGAGGGAGGGCGGGATGAGGAGTGGGAATGGCGTGTGCATGACGTGATGAAACACACCCAACCTTCACTGTAAGCACATCTCAGTAAAAGCACATCTGACAATAAAGACCCAATATGAGGACATCTCACTATGAGCACATCTCTATGAGTAGATCTCACTATGAGTACCACCCCACTCAAACCTTTGTAACTATGCGCACACCTCGCCGTAAGAACAACTGTTATAAGCAGTCCTTTTAACAAGCACACCTTACTTGCAGCAGGCAGATCCATCCATGATGGCCTCCCTCGGTCTGTCATAGCCCGCCAACACCACACCTCACAACAAGCACATACCTCACTCACTAGAAGCACAACTCGATACAAGTGCATCTCACTATAATCACACTTCCTCACTATGAGCACAACTCGACATAAACACAGCTCACTATAAGCATCTCATTGAAAAGATATCCACCCATCCTAGCCCCAATGGCTTTCTTCAAATCTCACGCCATTATAAGCATCGAAATAAGCATTTCTCACGAGAAGCACACCTCGTTAGAAGCAGATCCAGCAAATCCAGCCAACCTGGACTTTCTTCACGCCTTGCTAGCAACATGATAGCACCACCTCACTAGAAGCACACCCCACTAGAAGCACATTTCCTTAGAAGCACACCTCATTACAAGCAGATCTAGCCATCCGGGCCTCAAGAGCTCCCTTCACGTCTCGCTTACAACATGGTAGCAACACCTCACTCACTATACCCACACCCCACTAGAAGCACAATACAGTAAAATCACATCCCACTACAAGCGCACCTCGCTAGACCCAGCCATCCTGGCCTCGATAGCTTTCTTCACATCTCTCTAACCACCCGCTAGCCACACCTCATTACAAGACCTCAGTATAAGCACACCTCACAAGAAGCACATCCCACCACAAGCGCACCTCGCTAGACTCAGCCATCCGGGCCTCGATAGCTTTCTTCACATCTCGCTGCAACCGCCGCCCAAAGTCCTTGAACATGGTGGATCCGCCTGATAGCACGATGTTCTGTGTGTGTGTGGAACGGGGGGGGGAGGGGGTGTTGAAGCAGCAGACACAGGCAGTAAGGCGCAGTGAGGCAGTAAAGGCACTGAGGCAAGGGTGCACAAGCAACCGCCGCCCAAAGTCCTTGCACATGGTTGACCCGCCTGATAGCACGATGTTCTGTTGAAGAGAGGGGGGTGGGGAATAGGAAGTGGAGGATGGTCAGGCAACCGCCGCCCAAAGTCCTTGCACATGGTGGAGCCGCCTGATAGCACGATGTGCAAGGACTTTGACATGGTGGATCCGCCTGATAGCACCATGTGCAAGGACTTTGACATGGTGGAACGATGTTCTGTGGGGCTTGGAGAGAGGAAGGGAGTTGACGAGATATACAAAAGGCAGGATAGGCCATAATTATTGGACAAAGTCCTTGAACATGGCTGATCCAGGTGATAGCACGATGTTCTGTTGAATAGATGGGGGGGAAGGCAAGGGTATGAGACGAGTGTGGACAAGGGTATGAGACGAGTGTGGACAAGGGTATGAGACGAGTGTGGACAAGGGTATGAGACGAGTGTGGACAAGGGTGAAGAAGCAATAGCCGCTCAGGTTCCTTCAAATGAATTGATCCGCCTGATAGCTCGACGTTCTACGCGCAACACGAGGGTGGGTGTGCACAGGTCAGGGGAAGATGGACACATTCGTGCGTGTGTACATCCCGAGGCAAACGCACGCAGTCTCGACACTGGCCCGCCCAGGGAACTGATGCGCGCAAGGATCCAAGGAAATGGATCCAGGAGAGACTCGTCGTTCGAAGGGGGTGCCTGGTAGTACCGATGGCAGCAGTCTGGAGCGATATTTAAGAAATTTCAGAAATCGCTCACAAAGACACGTCTTTTAAAGAGGGCACCTGGTTGGTACCGATGACAGCAGTCTGGACTGATTGAATCAGGTGCGGCTTATTCAGACACATGAGACAAGGGGACCATGAGACAAGATACACGCAGGGATTACCTTGTCTTGTCTCATGGTCCCCCCAACAGCTGAGGCACACACATTCAGACACTCTCTTACCTTGTAGAGCGAGCGCCGTGTGTTAAGGGATGGCAGCAGACTGCACAGGCGGGGGATGGCAGCAGACTGCACAGGCGGGGGATGGCAGCAGACTGCACAGGCGGGGGATGGCAGCAGACTGCACAGGCGGGGGATGGCAGCAGACTGCACAGGCGGGGGATGGCAGCAGACTGCACAGGCGGGGGATGGCAGCAGACTGCACAGGCGGGGGATGGCAGCAGACTGCACAGGCGGGGGATGGCAGCAGACTGCACAGGCGGGGGATGGCAGCAGACTGCACAGGCGGGGGATGGCTGGAGTATTGCAGCAGTACAGAAGGGGAGCACCCCTTGTCTCACACACCCTTGTCTCCTGTAGTGTTGCATGGTTCCTCTTGTCTCCTGTAGTGTTGCATGGTTCCCCTTGCAGTTAACCACACAGCACCACCCACCTTGTAGAGCGAGCGCCTGGTGACAATGGCGGCAGTCTGCACTGCTACCTCCACCAGCTCTGCAGCCCATTGGTACTGGCTTGCTCGTCTCATGTTTCCCAGTAAGGTGCGTGCGAGGCACACGCATACAGCACCACCCACCTTGTAGAGTGAGCGCCTGGTGTCAATGGCGGCAATCTGCACGGCTGCATCCCACAGGGATCACCTTTCCAGGTGTTTCCCAAAGAGATAAGGCACACGCCCACACAGCACCCACCTTGTATAGCGAGCGCCTGGTGTCAATGGCAGCGGTCTGCACGGCAGCATCCACCAGCTCTGCCAGTGACGTGCCCACGTTGCTCACTGCGATCTCAGGCGAGAAAAAGACCTGAGGTGGGAGAGGGAGGGAGCAGGAGACAGAGGGGGAGCAGAGAAGAGGGGCCTGAGGTGGGAGAGGGGCAGTGTGCACAGCCGCATCTACCAGCTCTGCTAGCGATGTGCCATCATTGCTCACTGCGATATCAGGAGAGAAGAAGACCTGAGGAAGGGAAGGAGGGAGAGAGGGAAGAAGAGGGAAGAAAAGGGACGAAGGCCTTATGAAGCTGTCCGCACGGCTGCATCCACCAGCTCTGAAAGTGACGTGCAGACGTTGCTCACTGCTATCGCACGTGAGCAGAAACCTGAGGGGTCGAAGGAAAGGTGGGAGGGATGGGAGGAGTGGGAGGGTTGGGATTGTACGTGGATCGAGCAGAGAGGAGTGATGATAACTTAGAAAAGCATTGTTGACTTTGGAGGCGCCTCAAAAGTCGAGCAGAGAGGAGTGATGATGACTTAGAGAAGCATTGTTAACTTTGGAGGCGCCTCAAAAGTCGAGCAGAGAGGAGTGATGATGACTTAAAGAAGCATTGTTGGCCATCTACTGAGGTACACGAGGGGGTGCTGAGCCCTTCAGACCAACCCCAATCCTGAAACCCCAAAGCCCAAATGCCCAGACACGAAATTCCGAACCTAACCTCTCACGCTTCCCCTCACTCACTCATTCACGTCAGCCGCCAGGAACAACTCGTGCGCCACAGCGATAGGGCATGTCGGTGCGCTCACTGGTGGCGGTCTACTGATGCATTCAACCCCAATCTTCTATTCTTAAGGACATCCCCTCACTCACCTCTGCACCCAGGAAACGCTCGTGCCCCACGTCTCAGTGGTATGGCGTGTTGGTGCGCGCGTTGGTGGCCGTCCATTGACGCATAGGGGTCTGATCTGAGCCCTTCAAACCAGACTCCAAGCCCCAAACCTTTCACCCGAAACCCTAAAAAACGTCGAACTCTAAACCCACGTGCATCCCCTCACTCACCTCTGCAGCCAGGAACCGCTCGTGCCCCACGTCGCAGCGGTAAGGAGTGTTGGTGCGCGCGTTGGTGGCGGTCCACACCTTGCGGTACTTATTAGGCTCCCTGTCGTGCTTGGTGAATTCCTGATGAAAGGAAGGTGGAGGGGAAATGGAGGTGGGGGGGGGAGAGAAGGAGGCGGGGTGGGGGAAGGGAGGTGCGGGGGGGAAGGGAAGTGCATGAGTGCATGACCGTTGGTGGCGGTCCAGAACTTGCGGTACTTATTAGGTTCCCTGTCATGCTTTGTGAACTCCTGAGCAGAGGGGGGATGGGGACGAAGGATGAGAAAAGAGGGGAGAGGTGATGTGTGAAGGGAGTGGGGGGTTGTGTCGGAAGGGGCGCTTGCCGTCCACACCTTGCGATACTTATTAGGCTCCCTGTCGTGCTTTGTGAACTCCTGCGGGCGGGGCACAGGGTGTGGGTGGAGGGCAGGGGAGAGGGGAACACGAACCCGTGTTGGTGGCGGTCCAAACCTTGCCTTGCCCTTGCCTTGCCATACCTGGATGGCATGGCTCCCTGTCGTGCTTGGTGGGGACCTGAAGATAGAGTGGGGGGGAGGGGAGGTATTGGTATGAGGTGACATTTGAGTCGACTCAAAAGTCACCTCGGATGGCTCCCTGTCGTGCTTGGTGAGGACCTGAAGATAGAGTGGGGGGGAGGGGTGGCTTTGAGACGTCTCAAAAACACTCTTCTTTCACGTGCTTGGTGAAGACCTGAAGATAGAGTGGGGGGGAGGGGTGGCTTTGAGACGTCTCAAAAACACTCTTCTTTCACGTGCTTGGTGAAGACCTGAAGATAGAGTGGGGGGGAGGGGTGTTTTTGAGACGTCTCAAATACACTCTTCTTTCACGTGCTTGGTGAAGACCTGAAGATAGAGTGGGGGGGAGGGGTGTTTTTGAGACGTCTTAAATACACTCTTCTTTCACGTGCTTGGTGAAGACCTGAAGATAGAGTGGGGGGGAGGGGAGGTGTTGGTATGAGGAAGCAGGAGCAACTCCTTGCTGGTGTTGGTGTGAAATGAATTAGCGTTGGCTGCCGCCCACACCTTAGGGTAGCGAGAGGGCTCGTGCTTTGTCCACACCTTAGGGTAGCGAGAGGGCTCGTGCTTTGTCCACACCTTAGGGTAGCGAGAGGGCTCGTGCTTTGTCCACACCTTAGGGTAGCGAGAGGGCTCGTGCTTTGTCCACACCTTAGGGTAGCGAGAGGGCTCGTGCTTTGTCCACAACTTAGGGTAGCGAGAGGGCTCGTGCTTTGTCCACACCTTAGGGTAGCGAGAGGGCTCGTGCTTTGTCCACACCTTAGGGTAGCGAGAGGGCTCGTGCTTTGTCCACACCTTAGGGTAGCGAGAGGGCTCGTGCTTTGTCCACACCTTAGGGTAGCGAGAGGGCTCGTGCTTTGTCCACACCTTAGGGTAGCGAGAGGGCTCGTGCTTTGTCCACACCTTAGGGTAGCGAGAGGGCTCGTGCTTTGCCCACACCTTAGGGTAGCGAGAGGGCTCGTGCTTTGTCCACACCTTAGGGTAGCGAGAGGGCTCGTGCTTTGTCCACACCTTAGGGTAGCGAGAGGGCTCGTGCTTTGTCCACACCTTAGGGTAGCGAGAGGGCTCGTGCTTTGTCCACACCTTAGGGTAGCGAGAGGGCTCGTGCTTTGCCCACACCTTAGGGTAGCGAGAGGGCTCGTGCTTTGTCCACACCTTAGGGTAGCGAGAGGGCTCGTGCTTTGTCCACACCTTAGGGTAGCGAGAGGGCTCGTGCTTTGTCCACACCTTAGGGTAGCGAGAGGGCTCGTGCTTTGTCCACACCTTAGGGTAGCGAGAGGGCTCGTGCTTTGTCCACACCTTAGGGTAGCGAGAGGGCTCGTGCTTTGTCCACACCTTAGGGTAGCGAGAGGGCTCGTGCTTTGTCCACACCTTAGGGTAGCGAGAGGGCTCGTGCTTTGCCCACACCTTAGGGTAGCGAGAGGGCTCGTGCTTTGTCCGCACCTTAGGGTAGCGAGAGGGCTCGTGCTTTGTCCACACCTTAGGGTAGCGAGAGGGCTCGTGCTTTGTCCACACCTTAGGGTAGCGAGAGGGCTCGTGCTTTGCCCACACCTTAGGGTAGCGAGAGGGCTAGTGCTTTGTCCACACCTTAGGGTAGCGAGAGGGCTCGTGCTTTGTCCACACCTTAGGGTAGCGAGAGGGCTCGTGCTTTGTCCACACCTTAGGGTAGCGAGAGGGCTCGTGCTTTGTCCACACCTTAGGGTAGCGAGAGGGCTCGTGCTTTGTCCACACCTTAGGGTAGCGAGAGGGCTCGTGCTTTGTCCACACCTTAGGGTAGCGAGAGGGCTCGTGCTTTGTCCACACCTTAGGGTAGCGAGAGGGCTCGTGCTTTGTCCACACCTTAGGGTAGCGAGAGGGCTCGTGCTTTGTCCACACCTTAGGGTAGCGAGAGGGCTCGTGCTTTGTCCACACCTTAGGGTAGCGAGAGGGCTCGTGCTTTGTCCACACCTTAGGGTAGCGAGAGGGCTCGTGCTTTGTCCACACCTTAGGGTAGCGAGAGGGCTCGTGCTTTGTCCACACCTTAGGGTAGCGAGAGGGCTCGTGCTTTGTCCACACCTTAGGGTAGCGAGAGGGCTCGTGCTTTGTCCACACCTTAGGGTAGCGAGAGGGCTCGTGCTTTGCCCACACCTTAGGGTAGCGAGAGGGCTCGTGCTTTGTCCACACCTTAGGGTAGCGAGAGGGCTCGTGCTTTGTCCACACCTCTCCGTTGCTCACCTTCATTCTCCTTCACTCTCCTTTATTCACCTTGCAGGTGAGATAGGCAAACACGCAGACAAGCATGCAGGATATGCGAGAGCGCAAACATTCAGGGTGGATGGATGCACCTTGACAAGGTCGGAGCATGTGTATCCATACGTCTCCTTCACTTTTCTCGCCACTTCAATCGCCTCTTCTGCTGGTACCGGCTCCCCTCGGTCCTGATATCGGAATGCGGTAGGGCATGGGGTAGGCATGGGGTAGGGCATGGGGTAGGCATGGGGTAGGGCATGGGATAGGGCATGGGATAGGGCATGGGATAGGGCATGGGATAGGGCATCGGATAGGGCATGGGATAGGGCATGGGATAGGGGCATGGGATAGGGCATGGGATAGGGCATGGGATAGGGCATGGGATAGGGCATGGGATAGGGCATGGGATAGGGCATGGGATAGGGGCATGGGATAGGGCATGGGATAGGGCATGGGATAGGGCATGGGATAGGGCATGGGATAGGGCATGGGATAGGGCATGGGATAGGGCATGGGATAGGGCATTGGATAGGGCATGGGATAGGGCATGGGATAGGGCATGGGATAGGGCATGGGATAGGGGCATGGGATAGGGCATGGGATAGGGCATGGGATAGGGCATGGGATAGGGCATGGGATAGGGCATGGGATAGGGCATGGGATAGGGCATGGGATAGGGCATGGGATAGGGCATGGGATAGGGCATGGGATAGGGCATGGGATAGGGCATGGGATAGGGCATGGGATAGGGCATGGGATAGGGCATGGGATAGGGCATGGGATAGGGCATGGGATAGGGCATGGGATAGGGCATGGGATAGGGCATGGGATAGGCATGGGATAGGGCATGGGATAGGGCATGGGATAGGGCATGGGATAGGGCATGGGATAGGGCATGGGATAGGGCATGGGATAGGGCATGGGATAGGGCATGGGATAGGGCATGGGATAGGGCATGGGATAGGGCATGGGATAGGGCATGGGATAGGGCATGGGATAGGGCATGGGATAGGGCATGGGATAGGGCATGGGATAGGGCATGGGATAGGGCATGGGATAGGGGCATGGGATAGGGCATGGGATAGGGCATGGGATAGGGCATGGGATAGGGCATGGGATAGGGGCATGGGATAGGGCATGGGGTAGGGCATGGGATAGGGCATGGGATAGGGCATGGGATAGGGCATGGGATCTTCATGGGTACGGGATCGGGCATGAGCCTTAGGGTAACCAGTTACCACACAGCAATCACACAAGAACTAAGGGGTGACCATGGGGCAATCACATTTTAAATATACATAATACTCCATGCATTGAGCCGCCCATGGTTACCCACGGGTCCTCTGTGGAAAGGGTTTGAGTGTTTGCAACAGCAACGAGAACGAGAGCCATCCCCCATCCACCTTCCAGCACTGGAAAGACACGTGCTGGAAAGCAAAGGTTTGGCATGTTTGCAAGAGCAATGAGAACGAGAGCCATCCCCCACCCAGCACTGGAAAGACACGTGCTGGAAAGCAGAGTTTCATTCAGCATGTTTGCAAGAGCAATGAGAAGAACGAGAGCTAGCGTTACCATTTGATTAGTCACACTGTGTTGTTTGCCCTTGGCAGAATTCCATAGGGCGGAAACACCATACAAAACCATATAAAACATCATAGAACATAGAAGCATACCATAACGTGCTTGGTTGAAAGAAGACGAACCAGACAGACTTGAATTGACAGTGCTGGCCGGCATCAAAACGCCCTTTACCCGCATGAGCTGTTGCACCAAGGCCGTGGAGTGAGCACCCCCAACCGGCCGGCATGGCCCGACCGGGAGCTTCCCCCAACGAGTAGCCCTTGAGCAGCAGAGAGATGCATGCTTGAAAGGAGAAGCAGTGGACAGTCTTGACTTGAGAGAAGCATGAGATCATTACCCTCATGAGCTGCTGCACAAAGGCGGTAGAGTGGGCACCCCCCCCACAGGCATGAATCAGGAGCTTCCCCCCAACCCCAACACGTAGCCCTCGACAACTGGGAGAGGTACTGCACCACCCTCTACCCAACCCCAGCATTACCCTCATGAGCTGCTGCACAAAGGCGGTAGAGTGGGCACCCCCCCCAGGCATGGATTGAGAGCTGCCCCCCAACCCCAACACATAGCCCTCGACCAGCAGAGAGATGTGCGCATGGGATGAGAGTAGAGAGTAGGCATTACCCTCATGAGCTGCTGCACAAAGGCGGTAGAGTGGGCACCCCCCCCAGGCATGGATTGAGAGCTGCCCCCCAACCCCAACACATAGCCCTCGACCAGCAGAGAGATGTGCGCATGGGATGAGAGTAGAGAGTAGGCATTACCCTCATGAGCTGCTGCACAAAGGCAGTGGAGTGAGCACCGCCAACAGGCATAGAGCGAGAACTGCCCCCCAGCACATAGCCCTCGACCACTGGCACCACTGAGGCTGAGGCGAAGCCCGCATCCACCACCACACCCGTCATTGGGACCTGCAGGGGAGCGGGGAAATGGGAACACGGGGATGTATAACGCATAATGAAGAATGGAGAGGGATGGGGGCATGCCAATCGCGGCATGTTGCCCTCTACCGTACCACCGGGACGACCGAGGCTGAAGCAAAGCCAGCATCCACCACCACCACGCCTGTCAATGGGACCTGCGGGGGAGATAGGGTTAATGGGATGCGGGACGGGAGACACGTATTGAGCAGGTAGGAGGAATGCCCCACTGCAAGCACGTAGCTCTCGACCACTGGGACCACTGAGGCCGAGGCAAAGCCTGCATCCACCATCATGCCTGTCATTGGGGCCTGGAAGGGAGAGGGGGAAGGGTGTGATGGGAAGTGGGAGAGAAGACAGACGTGCATTGAGCATGAGGGAGGAAGAGAAGAGGGGATGCAGGCTGGCATCACTTGTCAACGCATAAATTAAACAAAACTATCACTTAACGGGATGTGCAAGCGTACAAAATTGTCCGGCATATCAGAAGCTTACCTGCTTTCAGTCCTCAAGAGACAAAAGAGCTGCTGAAATTGTGTGCAGGTCTGTTGAAACTGGCTGTGAGGTTTGTTGCTCTTCTTACCTGAGCTGCTGTGTTCGCTGCAGTGAGGGCAAGGGACGGTTGACTGGCCATGTATAGCCCTGCCACGTTGAACCTGCACCCGAAGTGTGAGTCAAGAGGAAAGGGACAGGGAAAGGGACAGAGAGGCGAGATAAAAGAGGTAAGGGCACACGTTGACTTTTGAGTCGACTCAAAAGTCACAGGGAAAGGGACAGAGAGGCGAGATAAAAGAGGTAAGGGCACATGTTTGACTGGCCATGTAGCTACATTGAACCTGCACCCAAGGCGTGAGTCAAGGGGAAGGGGACCGCGACAGACGGACGAGAGGGAATGGAAGAGGTAAGGGATCGGGGTTGACTGCCCATGTATAGCCCTGCTACGGTGAACCTGCTGGAAACGTGAGGCATGGGGAAGGGGAGGAGAGGTGGAAGGAAAGATAGACGCTGACAGATTCAGAGCAAATACATGGGATAGAGGAGGAGGAGAGGGCCCTCTGTACTCGCGGTGTGAATTCAAGTACAGAGGGCCCTCTGTACTCGTGGTGTGAATTCAAGTACAGAGGGCCCTCTGTACTCGCGGTGTGAATTCAAGTACAGAGGGCCCTCTGTACTCGCGGTGTGAATTCAAGTACAGAGGGCCCTCTGTACTCGCGGTGTGAATTCAAGTACAGAGGGCCCTCTGTACTCGCGGTGTGAATTCAAGTACAGAGGGCCCTCTGTACTCGCGGTGTGAATTCAAGTACAGAGGGCCCTCTGTACTCGCGGTGTGAGTTCAAGTACAGAGGGCCCTCTGTACTCGCGGTGTGAATTCAAGTACAGAGGGCCCTCTGTACTCGCGGTGTGAATTCAAGTACAGAGGGCCCTCTGTACTCGCGGTGTGAATTCAAGTACAGAGGGCCCTCTGTACTCGCGGTGTGAATTCAAGTACAGAGGGCCCTCTGTACTCGCGGTGTGAATTCAAGTACAGAGGGCCCTCTGTACTCGCGGTGTGAATTCAAGTACAGAGGGCCCTCTGTACTCGCGGTGTGAATTCAAGTACAGAGGGCCCTCTGTACTCGCGGTGTGAATTCAAGTACAGAGGGCCCTCTGTACTCGCGGTGTGAATTCAAGTACAGAGGGCCCTCTTCTCCTCCTCTATCCCCATGGTTTCGAACACGAATTCAGCAATGTGCTGCGGTGCTCGTTGGGGAGAGCGGGGAGGGAGGGGGGGTGAGAGGGCTCTCAGCCAGCCAGGAGCAGCAAATGCTGCTCTGGCTCCACCCTCAGGCGCTTCAAGAGCAAGCCCTCGTGTCCCACCCACACCAGCCCTCTCTGCTCCCAATGCACTGCACTCGTGTCCCACCCACTCACGTTTCAAACATGATCTCGGCGATGTATTCCCGGTGCTCCGGGGGAGTGAGAGGGCTCTCAGCCAGCAGCAGCACATGCTCCTCCGGCTCCACCCGCATGTACTTGAAGAGCGACTGCTGCCACAGATGCTCCATGGCGTCCCACGCTTCAATCTGGCGGTAAGAGGGGAGAAGACAGGACACGGGACAGGGACATGAGCAAACAGAGAGCACATAGCGCCAGCAGCAGCACATGCTCCTCGGGTTCCACCAGCATGTACTTGAAGAGGGACTGCTGCCACAGATGCTCCATGGCGTCCCATGCCTCTATCTGGTGGGTGGGAGGGGAGCAGAGGGTGAAGTTAACGCTTGAGCAATAGGAACAGCAGCAGTGTGAAAAAGGTGTGAAAGAAAGCAGATCTAAAAAACCCTTGGGAGGGGCAGATGGGGCATGGGACATGAGCAGAGAGTGAGCAGAGTGAGAAAATAGCAGCGGCAGCAGCAGCACATGCTCCTGTGGTTCCATCCGCGTGTACTTGAAGAGTGACTGCTGCCACAGGTGCTCCATGGCGTCCCAAGCTTCTATCTGGTGGGGGTGAGAGGGGGTGGGAAAGACAGTAAACGACGGAGGGTGAGTGAGCGATTGAAGAGGCTCTGCTGCCACAGGTGCTCCGTGGCATCCCATGCCTCGATCTGAGGAAGGGAGGGGGAGATGGGATGGGACATGAGGCATAAACAGACGGTGAGCACCGAGCGGACACCCACGTGTACTTGCAGCGCGATTGCTGCCATGGATGCTCCATGGCATCCCACGCCTTTAACTGACAGTGGTGGTGAGAACGGGAGGGTGGGAGAGACAGTAAACGAAGGAGGGTGAGTAAGAGCTGAAGAGCGACTCCTGCCACAGGTGCTCCATGGCGTCCCTTGCCTCTATCTCGCGAATGTGCAACTCTCCTCCTTGCACCCACCTCTCCCTGTTCCACCCACCCACCTGTACCGCTCTCCACCCATCTGTCCCCTCTGCAGGGAATATGCCGGCTTGTACGAACCAGATCAGCCATTGATTTTGAATTTCGAAATACTAATTCACCGCTTATCTCCACCCACCTGCACGGGATGCTGATTCTCCCACTCATTCCCCCCCAACCACCCACCTGCACGGGATGCTGATTCTCCCACTCATTCCCCCCCAACCACCCACCTGCACGGGATGCTGATTCTCCCACTCATTCCCCCCCAACCACCCACCTGCACGGGATGCTGATTCTCCCACTCATTCCCCCCCAACCACCCACCTGCACGGGATGCTGATTCTCCCACTCATTCCCCCCCAACCACCCACCTGCACGGGATGCTGATTCTCCCACTCATTCCCCCCCAACCACCCACCTGCACGGGATGCTGATTCTCCCACTCATTCCCCCCCACCCACCCACCTGCACGGGATGCTGATTCTCCCACTCATTCCCCCCCAACCACCCACCTGCACGGGATGCTGATTCTCCCACTCATTCCCCCCCACCCACCCACCTGCACGGGATGCTGATTCTCCCACTCATTCCCCCCCACCCACCCACCTGCACCCTTCGACACCCACGTGTCCCCTCGGCTCTGAATGGGTGAGCTTGTACAACCCAAATCCTAAATAAATCAAAATCACCTGTACCCTCACTGTGACCACCTGCACCCCTCTCCACCCACCTGCCCTCTCTGCACTGGATGCGTCAACTTGTACGGCCCAGATCGCGCAGCAGTGTACGCCGCCTCGCCCACTTGGACGTCCAGGTCAGCCATGAGCGCTGCCACGTGGGCCTGCTGCTGCTGCTGAGCTGGCGACACGGCATTGGCTCCAGGCGCCGCCAGCGCAGCAGAGGCAGCGAATGAGTCGTGGCAGGCAACGACTGTGGGGATGACAAAGCTGGGCTCTAAGTTTCCGCCAAAGCCCATCTTGGTGAACCTGGGAAGGAAAGAAGGAAGGAGAGGAGGAGCAGGAGTGGCATGCAGAGGAGTCGTGGCAGGCGGCTACCGTGGGGATGACTAAGCTGGGCTCTAGGTTTCAGCCAAAGCCCATCTTCTTGAACCTAGAGCGGGAAGGGGGTTTGGGTGAAGAACAGAGTGACAGGAACAGGATTCGAATGAGCTGTGGCGTGACCGCTGTGTGGGTATGGCGATGCTGGGCCCTGGATTACCTTCGAACCCCATCGTGCAGGGAGTGTGAAAGGAGACGGATGGAGAGGAGGAGCAGAGCAGGAGTGGGGTGTACGACATGCAGGAATGGGGGGCAAGCGAGGCGGCTGAAGAGGCAAATACGATACAGAGTTGCGAGTTATGACGTGGAGAGGGAGGGAGGGAAGTGGAGAGCCTGAGCGACGAAAGGGATGGCGAAAGGGGTTACCCGGATCCATTATCGAGGACGATGGCGCTTCTCTGAGTGGGGTCCATCGCACGCCAGGCGACGCCTCGTCGCAGGTCGCACAGTGGTCGCCGGAAGCCACGCGAGGTAAGGACGCAAGGAACGCGACGTAACGCGACAGGCTGCGACGTAGTACACTGGGATTCGACACAATGGGACAGCGCGCGACGCGGCCAACCCTAAAATGTCGCTGGGTGCGAAGTGCTTTTGTGCTCGATGAAACCCGGGACGTCTTTACTTGTTATGGGTCGTGCGTCTATTTCCCACACTTGTGCACTACGCGTGATGGGGTCAGGAGTCGGGGGGGAGCAAAGTAGATGTCGTATGCCTTCGGCCGTGATACGATAGGGTTGGAAAGCTGGTTTCGTTCGATAACTTCAAAATTTAGGGCTGTACGAATAGAGAGGGTAAATCTAGGGGTAGGTAGCTTTCGCAGGGGTACTACTAGCGACCCTGCGCTTTCAAGGGGACTACAGTGCTATATGCGGGCACTTTCCGCCACTCCGCCACTCCGACAGGAACATTATGGCAACAACACAGAACTCGGTCCCACATTCACCCACGTGTCACAAATTTCGCAAGCCACTGGAAAAAATATCCGTTTAGCTGACCGAAAAAAACTAAAACTCAATCGGGAAGGGATGCGTCTCGGGGAGGCATCAACCCTAAAAAAAATGTGGGTTCCCGTGTTTAGGGTTGATCCCTCCCGAAGATGAGTCCAGGTTCCCTCTGGGTTTTATTTTTTTTGCCGTGCGTTTTCTAGCTTTCCAAATTTGTGACACGTGGGTGAATGTGGGACCGAGTTCTGTGTTGTTGCCATAATGTTCCTGTCGGAGTGGCGGAGGGGCGGAAAGTGCCCGCAACTAGCACTGTAGTCCCCTTGAAAGCGCAGGGTCGCTAGTAGTACCCCTGCGAAAGCTACTTACCCTAAATCTAGCGTCCCACGTACCCTCTATGGCGAGAGCAACCCAACCTAGACCGCCCGAATAAGGGACAGTATCGAACTGAAGACACTGTTGTCTCTATTGGTGTATACTCTTATACAGGGAATTCCTCTTTAAAAGATAGCCTTTTACCAGTATGTTCGGTTTCATTCGTATCAGATCGTATCAGATGGAACAAGTTTCTTAATGACAGAAAATAACAGCCGTGTTTTCACTCAAAACTGCTGACTCCTGCACATTTGCCAGCACTTCATCATTCGAGCTCCTCCTCATTTCTCCGCATCCCATCCCATTTCCAGCCTTCAACCTAAAATTATCCCTGTCAATCAGTTGAAATTTCTGCATCGGCACCTGCTGCTCGCAGCAATCCCTGAAGACGCAAGGTGAATTCCTAGTCGACTCAAGAATCGCTGTCAATCAGTTGGTGAGTCCACAACAAGCTCTGCAGTGGCATCTGCTGCTCGCAGCAATCCCTGAAGGTACGGCAACACGCCAACCGCATCCCTCCATGCCCTCCCTCCCACCCCTGCTGCCCCTCCCCCTCCAGAGCCACTCCTACAGACACCACCACCACTCCCTCCATTGCTTTTGATCCTTCTCACATGCTCCTTCACCTGTGCTATCACCGCTTCCCTGTGCCCGTCCCGGCATGAATATGAAACCACCTCGGAAGCAGGCTGGGTCATCAGAAGCAGATCCATACCACCACTCTCCATCCCACCGCTATCCATCCCAGCACCATCCCTCCCCCCCGCCTCACTCACACCTGCCCCACTAAGACCGCTCCCTGAAACCTCCTCGTCTGCTCTTTCCATAGCATCCCTTCCACCGCCAGTCAACCTGCGGGCCTTATCCCATCCCTCGGGACAAGCAACCCCATTCTGCCTCTCATGCTGCTCTGTGCTCCCACAATGCACCTTACCTGTAAGCACCGCTCCCAACCCAGCTCCAAACCCCATCCCCACGCCCACCCCACTCCTTCCCCGGACATGATGTGACAACACCAGCGCCTGCCCCTTAATCTGAGAAAGCGGAACCTTCCGAGAAGTTCTCTTGGCTGGATCGACAAACGCTGTCCCCGTGGCACCTTTGTGACTCCCTTGACTGCTGCTGTGAAAGCTCCTGCCAATTTCGGGGTAAAGAGTGGAAGACACCCTTTCGCCATGCATGCCAGAGGTGGAGGTGATAAGATTCTCAATGGCAGACGCCAAATCCCCCTCATTGCCGGATTCCTCAGCAGCCCCGGCCGCGTCATCCCCTGCTCCATCTCCCCATGCTCCCTTTCCCCCTGCTCCCTTCCCCCCTGCTTCCTCTCCCCCTTTTTTCTCTCCCCCTGCTCCGTCTTCCCCACCTGCATCATCCCCTGCTGTGCCTTCCCCAGAGTTACATGCGTTGCGGTTACCACCGTCATCACCAGCGCCGCCAGCAGCAGTACTTGGACCCTGACGGTTACCAGCATCTTCCATGCCCTCCCCATGCCCAACGTAATCCCCTCTGGCAGTCACACAGGGAAACGTCTCATCCCCATTCGTATCAACATCGCACTCGCCAGTCCTAGCAACACCACCGTTAGCCCCAGCGCCCCCAAGGAGACGGCTCTTGGACCTGTCAGTGTGAGATGCCGATGTGGCCCTTCCAGTGCCTGCAGGTTCCCCTTCTCTCCTCCCCGGACCTTCCACCACTGTTGTCAGCCCCCCTTCCTCATCCCTCTGACTCGATTCTTCACCTCCCCTTCGCCCTGTAGCAGCAGCGGCGGCAGCACCAGCAAAGGGATGGGCCGGGTTCTCAAATCGACTCTTTTCCGCGCCCACCACCACGCCATCTCCCACCGTCCTCGCAGCTGCTCCCTCTGCTCCAGAGTCGCCAATTCCCTCCATCTGCCTTGCTCGTTTCCTCATATTCCCCTCATTCTCCTCACCCTCTCGATTTTCTTGAGTTTTCTCTTGTGCATCCCCATCACTCCTGTCCCTTACCTTAACCCCATGGTCCCCTTCCCCCTCGTGCACTGCCCTGTCGCTGTTCGTGGTTACCCCATCGCCCCCTGTCAGCCACTCATTTCGCCCTGTTTTCGCCATCCATCCCATTTGATCCGGCTCCTTCCATCCCCTTCCTTCATTGGCCGTTGTCGCAGATGCTTTCACAACATCTCTTCCCTCTAACGCCTCTCCTACTCTTGCTACCCCGAAGACTCCCCCTTGTGCATCTGCAACGTTCCCTGCAGCCCTTACCCCTGCGAACTCCCCACCATGTGACATTCCGCCAGCTCCCACAGCGTTCCCTCGCCCCAGAAACTCCAACTTCCCCCAGACCTTCCCCTCAGCCTTCTGCTTCCCCACAGCTTCCCCCTCCCCCCCGGCCTCCCCCTTCTCCGCAACCATTCCCCTCCCCGTGGCCTCTCCCCTCCCCGCAGCCTCTCCCCTCCCTGCAGCCTCTCCCCTCCCCGCGGCTTCTCCCCTCCGCACGGCTTGCACACCCCCCTGTGTGACGGGAAACCGGCCCCCCTCCATCTGACTCAGACTCGGCGGCGGAGGGTGAAACGGTCCAGTTGGCACGATCCCATTGGCTCGCACGCACGCGTGCAGCCACTCTTCGGTAACCACCGCCACGTTACCCCACTGCATCGCGCGCCCGTACTTCTCTCCGGACGCCATGGAGCAGACGAGATGCGAGGTCCGACGGTCCATCTTCTCCGTATGAACCGCGCCGAGCGCGATGCAGAGACAGCGGATGTTGATGCGCCGCGCGCCGCCGTACATCGAGACGCAGAATTGGAAGGATTGGATTCCCGGGAGGGGGATCGTGCAGGGGAGGGGACGGAGAACGAGATGGGAGGAGGGGTCGATTAAACGATTGTCGTGATGAGATCTGTACACCCAGTGCGCCGAGACAACGCGATGCGACGGATGCGACGGATACGACGGATGCAATGTCGGCTGCGATTGGTCCGTGCTCCCGTGAGCTTTCACGATTATCGGCGACGCGTGGCGTGACGCGTCGCTGATGACCGTGCCGCCTCCCGCCATGATGACTCGATATAAGCGGTCTCGAATGTCGGAAGAGAGGGTTGGACTGAGGAGGAACACCTCATTCTGGAAGACTGACGAGAACGCCATGCGAGTCGGCACGGGAATTCCGGCTCGTCGCAGCGACGACGTGGTAACCTGGCTCATACTACTAGCGAAAGCGAAGACTCATCAACCAACAGCTATGGCGACGAACATATGTCTACGTGTGTTGGAGAAATGCAAACAAAAGAAACGCCGGGGTTTCGTCTGCTACGGACACGCAGCTCAACCAGCCAGGAGTTGATGGTTTGAAGTGGATGCCTGGGCGTGAGCTGCCTGCTGTTGTCACCTAGAGGCTAGATTGAATTCGTGGCCTGAACTGATGATGATTTGAAGACTAGAAGCCTAGATTCTGGATGGGGGAAAGGAGATGGGGCATGGGAAAACCGATGTAGGGAAAATCGAACCGATCTAGGGAAAACCTACCTAGGGAATATGGTGGCTGAAATCCTGATTCAAAATTATACAGTGTGCTGAAACAGTGCGAAGCTCCTCATAATGTTACACTTTCCCTCTTCGCGACAGCTCGTCCAGGGTTTTGACGACGGTTTTGCGACGTGGATGTTGTTGACTGAGTCGCCGAGTTACCTCATTCATTGTACTCTGACAAGCCAATGGGGTGTAGTTGTTTTCCCGCGCCCACAGCATCTCCCAAATCAAGTTTCCAGACCTGGGCCCGGTTCGTCGCGCCGCTGGGGGTTCGAACGAACAGTCGCTGTCGGTGGCTGGAACACCACATATGGTTCGGCATTCGAAATCATGGAACGCCTTTTCAGCAATGTCCAGGTGTAGAATGTTTTAGTTCGGTTAACAACGGTTCAAACGTTATGGTGGAGTATTGTGCGTCTTTACACATCTCCGATGATTTCTGGCTTGTGCGTCGGTTATTGCTTCCTCCTACCATGGCTTCGGGTGATGGTATGATAGCTTCCATTTTGCACGGGAACCAAGTTGTGGCAGCAGTGTGGATCTATGGATGAGCATGTCATTACCAAATGAGAAGCCCGGGTGTTACCTACGGTTTGTAGTTAGGTCGCCTCAGGCCGACTCGACTCAGCTACTCAACACTTAAGTACAGTGATGGGATGCAATGGGTAGCACCTCACTTCATGTTTTGCTGGCTAGTAGGAAATCGACATAGTGTCGCTTGCTCGTCTTTTTATCAGTGTTCGCGGCGAGGTATGCGTCGTACTGCGGAGATCGTTTCCAATCAACGACAACGAGCGCAATAGTACAGCAGATCAGCTCCCAGCGTTTCACTCGGATCAGCAGTACACAGCGCCGTACAGTACCCCACAAAAACGCACAGAATAGCACAGCAGCACATAGCACCGCACAGGACTGCACTGCATTCAACATGGCGGTTCAGGACTCGGCGAGGCCGCACAAGAGCAGGCGAGTGCTGATCGTGGCGTGGGCGGTCATCTCCACTCTCCTCAACTTCCTCCTCCTGCTTCAAACGCGCAACCCCGATACAAGCACGGGCAGTGCCGTCAGCGGCGTATCGAGCTTGCAAGGTACTGCTGCGCTGCTAGGTACTGTGCCACTGCAAGGCGCGTCGCGCGCTGCAAGGGCGTCGCGATGCACGCTGAGTCGCGCCGCAAGCTGTCTTGCTCTGCGGGGATCGTTGCTGCCGAGTTTCATTGGTCCAGGCCTTCCTGGTCCTTGAGGCCTTATGGTCCACGTGTACTCCGTATCAGTCCTCTCCTCTCATGCTCGCATCAGTCCTTGGAAGCCGCCCGATAAGTTTCGAGACGACTCAAGCTCTCTCTTCCCCCGCTCCCCCCCCCATCCCCATTCCACCCTCGCCAGCCTCCTTCCCGCTGCTCGACTGCCCCCTCTATCCGCACTACCCCGCCCAAGCTCCCTCAGAAACCACCCGATGCCTTTCGAATCCACTCGAGGTTCTTTCTCTTCCCGCTTCCCCCCCCAAACCTCCCCCCCCTTCCCTCTCCCACCTCCCCTCCCCCTCTCCCCCCCCGGTCCCGCCAGCCTCCCCTCCGCTGCTCAACTCCCCCCTCTATCCGCGCGGCCCCGTCCAAGCGCCCGCTGAAGCGGCCTGCTGGCACCGCCAGCGCTACCCCGATTCGCTGAGGGAGGCGGTGGAGGGACGCACGGACCCGTGGGCGCTCATGAAGGTGAGCAGGCGGGCGGGCCGTTAATTGTAGGACTATAGCGAAGGCGCTAGTACCTCCCCGCCTTGCTGCTCCCTCAGGGAGGCTGCGGAGGGGTGCACGGACCCCTGGGCGCTCATGAAGGTATGAGAGAGGGGTGATGGGGGTGACTGAGGGTTTTTGTAAGGTGTAGATGCGGCTCGAATGTAGGTGTCAGCCAGTGCTACCCTAAACCCATGGCCGCTCATGAAGGTGAGAGTGGGGGGTGATGGGGTTGGCTGTGAGGGCATACGAAAGGTGCTATTGAGTCGTGATTGAAGGTGCTAGTGCTTCCCCGCCCTGCTGCTCACTGGGGGAGGCGGTGGAGCACACACGGACCAGTTGGCGCTCATGAAAGTGAGTTGGGGGGGTGATGGGGCTGAGGGGATCACACGAGTGCGCGTTCGACTTGCCTTCAACTCACCTCTGGTAACCACCGGGCAATACCACCGGGCAATACCACCGGGCAATACCACCGGGCAATACCACCCCCATCGCCTGTTTTGAAGTCAACTCAGGTACAGAAGCGGGTTCAGACATAGCGCAGCTGCAGCTGCACCTTACCTTTATCTCTTGCTCTTTCCTTCAACTCGCCTTCTCCCCTGTGCGCTCCGCTGTACCCTTTCCAAGCCATACCACCCCTAGTAGCAGGTCTACAGATAGAGCAGCTGGAGCCGCACCTCAACTCCACCTCCCCCCTACCCTCATTTCCACTGCCCTCCTTCATCTCTCACCCCCTCTCCCTCATCTCTCACCCCCCCTCCTTCATCTCTCACCCCCCCTCCCTCATCTCTCACCCCCCCTCCCTCATCTCTCACCCCCCCCTCCCTCAACAGGCCATCCCTCCCCCCTCACCATGCACGGTAGCCGGCCTGCAGATAGAGCAGCTGGAGCCGCATCTCAACTTCCGCCGCGGCTATGCTCTGCGGCACACAGGGGACGCAGAAGATCGCCTGCATGTCTTGCCCTACTTCAGGGCTCTCCAAGACCCGGCCATGGGGAGACGGTGAGAAGAACAGGAGTATCAGGTGAGCAGGAACGAAGTGAGGCTATGCTGTGAAGCACACAGGGGACGCAGAGGACCACCTGTACGTACTGCCATACTTGAGAGCCCTGCAAGACCCTGCCATGGGGAGACGGTGAGAGAGAGCGAGACATGCTGCTGTAGTAGGGCTGGTAGGGGAGTTTGAGGCTATGCTGTGAGGCTCACAGGGGACGCTGAGTACCGCCTGCATGTCTTGCCCTACTTCAGAGGCGGGACTTGTTCACCTTCAGAGCCCTGCAAGTCCCTGCCATGGGGAGAAGGTGATGCTGTGGGATTGACAGCCACGCCACACCACACGTGGGTGGGATTTGACTGTACGGTGATTTCAGCTGTGATGCTGTAACGCCTGAAATCACAAGGAATTCCGGCGTAGCATGCTGTGAATTCCTTATGATTGATCACCTGCTATTCCCCCATCCCCCCTGCTCACTCTCTCCCCAGACACCGTTGAGTGTACTGTGGTGGGTGTTGAGGCGCTACCTACACACTTCTTTCTATCGCCTCTCCCTCCCGTTCCTTCCTTTCCCAACTGTGACCAATCCCCCCCTTCTCCCACTGTCTTCCATCAGGCGCCGTCGATCCGCATTTGGATCTGGGTGGAAAGGAGTCCAACTCGAGCATGCTATGGATGCTCACGCACTACCCTCTCCTCTCTTTCTTCCCTCCCGTTTCTTCTTTTTCCCACTCTGCCCCGTTGCTTCCCCCTTGCACCTCTTCCCTGGCAGGCGCCGAAGGGTATACCTGGATCTGGGCGGGAAGGAGTTCAACTCGAGTGTGCTGTGGATGTTGAGGCACTACCCTCTTCTCATACCCTGTCATGCTCAATACCTCCCGGTCTCCCCTGCTCCCCCCTCAGGCGTCGTCGAGTGTACCTAGATCTAGGCGGCAAGGAGTTCAACTCGAGTGTGCTGTGGATGCTCAGGCACTACCCTCTGGATTTCACGGAGGTGCATGTGTTTGAAGTCAAGAAGGGGCTGTTCCTGCTGCCGCCCAGGCAGGAGAAGGATGATGAGGTGGGTGGAGTGCGGTGGAGTGCGGTGGGATGCGGTTGGAGGGCAATATTACCGTCTGGATTTCACGGAGGTGGATGTGTTTGAGGTCAAGAAGGGGCTGTTCCTGCTGCCGCCCAGGCAGGCACAGGACGACGAGGTGAGAGGGGTGGGAGCAGGTGGAGTGCGGTGGGACATGCTCGAATGGCAGCACACGTAAGATAAATCCCAAGTAATGGTTGAAAAGGATATCTCAAAAGTCTCTGATGTGGCAGGGAAGTGATCCTCTCCTCTCCTAACTGCCCCTCTTTTTCTCTCAATCTCATTTGTCTCCCCTCTTGTCTCGTCTCCTCTCCTACCTTCCGCCCTCTCCTTCATCAACCTCTCAGTTCCAATACGCCAAGATACAACCCAGGAAGCGGCTCGAAAGGGTGTCATTGTTCTGGCAGGGGGACGAGCCTTCCTCCTGTTTTATTCCCTTCGCATCTCCCCTCCTCCCCCCTCATCTCCACCCCTCTCTTCTTCATCAACCCCGCAGGCCCAATACCCCGAGATACAAACCAGGAAGCGCCTCGAGAAGGTGTCGGTGTTCTGGCGGGGGGACGAGCCTCCCCCGGTGCCCAACTGGATGGCCGACAGGATCCATATTTATAATGACTTTGTTGACAACACGGATTACCATGTGAGTGTGACGAATGTGCTTATAACGAGTACATAAGGAGGCTATAGAGCCTCGCTTTCAGTACCCGACTGGATGGCCGACAGGATCCAGAATAATAACGACTTTGTGGACAACACGGACTACCATGTGAGTGTGACGTGTGTGCTTATAACGAGTTCAGCGTGAGGCTAGAGATATTATGTTATGTGTTTTGGCGGCGGGATGAGCCTCCCCCAGTTCCCAACTGCATGGTGGGCAGGATCCATGTTCATAACGACTTTGTGTGTGCAGAGGCATGGGAACGAACATCACTCGGTTCATCAAGGACGGGCTGCGACTCACAGCTGGGAGGATGTGTGCCATGCCGTGCCGTGCCGTGCCGTGCCGTGCCGTGCCGTGCCGTGCCGTGCCGTGCCGTGCCGTGCCGTGCCGTGCCGTGCCGTGCCGTGCCGTGCCGTGCCTTGCCTTGCCTTGCACTCACTGTGCCTTTCCTTGAATTGCACTGACTGTGCCTTGCTGTGCTCCCAGGTGTCTCTCCCATGTGTCTCTCCCATGTGTCTCTCCCATGTGTCTCTCCCACGTGTCTCTCCCACGTGTCTCTCCCATGTGTCTCTCCCACGTGTCTCTCCCACGTGTCTCTCCCATGTGTCTCTCCCACGTGTCTCTCCCATGTGTCTCTCCCACGTGTCTCTCCCATGTGTCTCTCCCACGTGTCTCTCCCATGTGTCTCTCCCATGTGTCTCTCCCATGTGTCTCTCCCATGTGTCTCTCCCACGTGTCTCTCCCATGTGTCTCTCCCACGTGTCTCTCCCATGTGTCTCTCCCACGTGTCTCTCCCATGTGTCTCTCCCATGTGTCTCTCCCACGTGTCTCTCCCATGTGTCTCTCCCACGTGTCTCTCCCATGTGTCTCTCCCACGTGTCTCTCCCATGTGTCTCTCCCACGTGTCTCTCCCACGTGTCTCTCCCATGTGTCTCTCCCACGTGTCTCTCCCATGTGTCTCTCCCATGTGTTTCTCCCACGTGTCTCTCCCACGTGTCTCTCCCATGTGTCTCTCCCACGTGTTTCTCCCATGTGTCTCTCCCATGTGTCTCTCCCATGTGTCTCTCCCATGTGTCTCTCCCACGTGTCTCTCCCATGTGTCTCTCCCACGTGTCTCTCCCATGTGTCTCTCCCACGTGTCTCTCCCATGTGTCTCTCCCACGTGTCTCTCCCACGTGTCTCTCCCATGTGTCTCTCCCACGTGTCTCTCCCATGTGTCTCTCCCATGTGTTTCTCCCATGTGTCTCTCCCATGTGTCTCTCCCACGTGTCTCTCCCATGTGTCTCTCCCATGTGTCTCTCCCATGTGTCTCTCCCATGTGTCTCTCCCATGTGTCTCTCCCATGTGTCTCTCCCATGTGTCTCTCCCATGTGTCTCTCCCATGTGTCTCTCCCATGTGTCTCCCCCATGTGTGCACTGCCCCTCTCTCTTTCTGCAGAAGCACGTGAACATCACGCGCTTCATCAAGCACGTTCTCAGGCTCACAGCAGGGGACACGCTAGTGGTGAAGATGGATGTAGAGGGCAAGGAGTGGGACGTGCTACCGGGTGAGTGTTCATGTGCTGGCTGTGAGTTTCAGCATCGGAATTGTTTGACTTGGTTTCAGCACTATCTCTCCTAGCCTTCTTGTCCCGCTTTCCTGGTATTTGTCCCCGCACGCTGGTGGTGAAGATGGATATATAGGGGACATGCCAGCACTACTAGTGGGCAGAATATTCGTCGAGCTGCACTACTAGTGGGCAGAATATTCGTCGAGCTGCACTACTAGTGGGCAGAATATTCGTCGAGCTGCACTACTAGTGGGCAGAATATTCGTCGAGCTGCACTACTAGTGGGCAGAATATTCGTCGAGCTGCACTACTAGTGGGCAGAATATTCGTCGAGCTGCACTACTAGTGGGCAGAATATTCGTCGAGCTGCACTACTAGTGGGCAGAATATTCGTCGAGCTGCACTACTAGTGGGCAGAATATTCGTCGAGCTGCACTACTAGTGGGCAGAATATTCGTCGAGCTGCACTACTAGTGGGCAGAATATTCGTCGAGCTGCACTACTAGTGGGCAGAATATTCGTCGAGCTGCACCACTAGTGGGCAGAATATTCGTCGAGCTGCACTACTAGTGGGCAGAATATTCGTCGAGCTGCACTACTAGTGGGCAGAATATTCGTCGAGCTGCACTACTAGTGGGCAGAATATTCGTCGAGCTGCACTACTAGTGGGCAGAATATTCGTCGAGCTGCACTACTTGTGGGCAGAATATTCGTCGAGCTGCAATACTAGTGGGCAGAATATTCGTCGAGCTGCGCTACTAGTGGGCAGAATATTCGTCGAGCTGCACTACTAGTGGGCAGAATATTCGTCGAGCTGCACTACTCGCACCCCTCCGTGCTGATGCGTCCCTCATATGAATCCCTTCGTGATTGGCCCCCTATCACATTGGCTGAGCGACCCGGAGATGCCACATATAGTGGATCGGATATTCGTGGAGGTGCACTACTCATTCGAACCCCTCCGTGCTGGGCGTGCAACCTATGGCCCCCTCATGCACCCCCCTGTGCTGCCTCATCTCATCCCCTCTCCCCTCTCGCAACCTCACAGACTGGTTGCAAGACCCGGAGATGCCACAGATGGTGGGTGGAGGTGCATTACTCGCACCCCTCTGTGTTCTCACATCCCTCATGTGACCCCCTGTGCCGGCTCATCCCCTCCACCCACCATCAGACTGGCTGCAAGATCCGGACATGCCATCAATAGTGGACGAGATATTCGTGGAGGTGCATTACTCGCACCCCTCCGTGCTGGGCTTTGGCTGGCGCCCCTTCAACCACACAAGAGAGCAGGCGACACAGCTGCTGGTAGACCTGAGAGCTAAAGGCTTCTTTGTGCACCCCTGGCCCTAGCCTTGAGCGCGTTGGCCTTGGATGGCTGGCTGCATGGCTTTGAAGGGCACCACACGAGGGACGAGGCAACACAGCTGCTGGCGGACCTGCGAGCTAAAGGGTTCTTCGTGCACCCCTGGCCCTAGCCTTAGGTGCCTTGGGCTTGGATGGCTGGCTGAATGGGTCTAACGTATGGTTCTACTGCATGAGGGAGGAGGCGATGCTGCTGTTGCTGGCGGACCTGCGAACTAAAGGGTTCTTTGTGCACCCCTGGCCTTAGACGGCACTACAGTCTCAGGGTCGCTTGTGCTGCTGCTGCTGCTGCTGCCGCCGCCGCCGTGCTGAATTTTGGTCAAGCACACGAGGGAGGAGGCAACGCAGCTGCTGGTAGACCTGCGTTCCAAGGGCCTTTTCGTCTATCCCTGGCCCTAGCCTTGTCTGCCGTTGCCTTGGCTGGCTGGATGTATGGCTTTAAGTTATGGGGCAGCACACGAGAGAGGAGGGGATGCAGCTGGTGGCTGGGAGAGTCAAGGTCCAAAGGGTTCTTCTTGCACCCCTACCCTTAGGTGCCCTAGCTTTAGATTCCTTCAAAGTGGGCCTGGGATGGGATGGGATGGGATGGGATGGGATGGGATGGGATGGGATGGGATGGGATGGGATGGGATGGGATGCGGTCCTAGCTGAGATAGTGAAACCCTGTCATTAGATGGCATGGGTCCAACCAAGGCCCTAGGTAGATGTATGTAGATGTGTTTGTGTGTGCTTTGGCTAGTGAGGTGTGTCATGGTGCAGTAGCAGATGTACCACACGTTTCAGAGTGTTCATTCAGGAGTATCGAGGGCCTGATAGCTTCTTGTGTGGTTCAACTTACTAACATGAAGTAATAAATGCTACCATCAAATCAAGTGAAGCCACTACTTGCTAAGGTTGCTATGGTACATCACTTTGTTCATGAGTATGCACCAGTTTTACGGTATGGCAAATTCTGTAATATTTAGCATGTATAGGTAGAGATTACAAAAAATAACCATGGCATGTTTATCTACGACATGTTGACAGCGTTTCATTCATTCTTATATTGGATAATGGCTCGTAGAGTACCGGTATTAATCTGTTCTATTTAGGGTGTAGTAAACCTACCGAATTTCCTGAAATGAAGATTGCTGTTTGGAACTACACCTGGTCCGCGGTATTTTAACCGCGCGAAAATGGGTAGCAGGATTTTGGATTATCTGGCCGTGGTGAAGATAAGGGTGCAAATTTTCGGTCATTATTTTCACCACCAAATATCTGAACAGCATGGAAAGTTTTGACAGCACTACTCAAAAGGAGCAATTCGGATCTTTTCGCCATCTGGAATGTTCCAGAGTCGGGAAAGTAAAATCATCGACGGTGACGATTCTTTCTGGAAAATTCGGATGGGGAAATTCGCTTGCCACGTGGACGGCGCCAGCTGAAATATCAAAAAAAGGCTTGGCAATCTGCAACTTGGTTCGGTCAAGTGTGAACAGCGATTTCTGGCCACCCAACAAGAAACGCCCAGCGTGCCGACAAACTTGGTTACGATACCGGCGGTTAAAATACCGCGGACCAGGTGTAGGGGTTCCCAAAATTGGCCGTTGCAAAAGTTCGCGCATTCAATGAGAGAACGCGCCACGTAATCTCGGGCCAATTTCGTTGTAAGCAGCGGATGACCCGGCGGAGCGCCAATGCGAGCGATGCCGGAAAGGATGGCGGCGCAGCTTCCGCCGGGCCTGGCGGAGGAGAGGCGCGAGGCGTTTGCGGTAGCGGCGGCGGCGGCGGCGGCGGCGGAGCTGATGGAGGCGGCTTGCGCGCGGAGCAGCTGCAGCGCGCCGATATGGCGGTGGTCGGTGCGCCGGCCGCCGCGATCATGCTGCCACGTGTCGCTTACAAGGCGGTACACGTGGCGGAGTTCGAGCAGCAGTGCCAGGCGCTAGTGCAGGTGGGAGAGGGATTGATTCAGTGACAGAGATAGATACATTAGTGACAGTTGGCAGATTGACGAGGAAAGCTGGCTTTCCTTGGATTGAAGATATTAGCAGTAGAAGAAAGTGTATGAGGCGCATCGTGTGAGTTCAGTGTGAGTTCAGTGTGAGTAATGGTTCGATAAATAGTAATCTTATTGCGCGTACGGCTTTCAGAGCGATAGGGGCAAGCAAAGCTGACAGGCGGACTCCGCGTGAGTCACTAGTGAGCCGACAGGTGAATCCGATATCGAACCCCCCTCCTTTTTCCGTCCGCCTTCTAGTCGGCCCCCCTTATACGGCTAACCCCTTCCTTTTTCCATCCTCCCACGCTCAGAACCCCCCATGTCCCCCACCCCCCTTTTTCTCCCCTCGCGGGCCCCCATATCGCCCCTCCCCCCCCCCCCCATATCAGCCCTCCCCCATATCGTTCCCCCCACAAACCGTCCCCCCCGTTTCGCCCCACCTCTCCCCCTCCCGTCAGGACCTCCGCAGTGCGTTGGACGCATGTGAGGCGGTGGAAGGAGCGCGGCTGGCAGAAAGAGACATCAGGTGATCGCTCAGGTGAATTCTCAGGTGCTTTCTCAAGTGATATCTCAATCAAAGTCTCTGGTGATTCTCAGGTGGTTCTTCAGGTGATTACGCAGGTGAGTGGTATTTTGGTGCATCCCAGAGGTGGGGTACGTCTGTCAACTTAGGGCAAGCGTCCCTCCGTCCCTCCATCTATCCCTCCCCCCTCCCCCAGTGTGCACGATCTCATCATCCCCTCCATGGGAGAGCTCGTAGCCGCCACTGTGCCATATCTTCCACCTAAACCGTTCTCCACCCCTCTCTCCTCCTCCCACCCCTCTCTCCCTCTCTCCCTCTCTCCCTCTCTCCCTCTCTCCCTCTCTCCCTCTCCCCCAGTGTGCACGATCTCATCATCCCCTCCATGGAAGAGCTTGTGGCCGCTTTCTTCAACAACCGTTCTCCACCCCTCTCTCCTCCTCCCTCTCTCCCTCTCTCCCCTCTCCCCCTCGTAGTGTGCACGATCTCATCATCCCCTCCATGGAGGAGCTTGTAGCCGCCACCGTGCCTTATCTCTGGTCGCCCAAGCAGCCAGGAAAGTCAACGCAGCCAGCGGCCAAGTCAACGCAGCCAGGAAAGTCAACGCAGTATAGACACGCTAAACAGTCAACGGGGAAGGCTGCAGAGCCAGGAGCGCACAACAAGGGGCCAGAGAGTGGCACTGACAGGGTACGCACGCAGAGAGTTGTGTTAGAGCACGAGGGAGAGGAGGGGATGGAGGGGGGTATGGAAGGGCGGATGGTGGAAGAGGGGATGGGGGTAGAGGAGGGGGGGATGGGAGAGGGGGTGGAGGAGAGAATGTGTCAGCGAGAGGGTGTTACAGGAGCAGAGGAGGAAAGGGATGAAAGGGCAGAGGAAGGGGGAGAGAGAGAGGATTTGAGGGAGGAGGGAGGAGAGGGAAGGATGGTAGGAGAAGAAGAGGAGGATGGTGGGAGGGATGTGGAGGGGGAGAGGGGAGATGGAGGGAGGGGAAGGGAGGAAGGGGGCGAGGCAGTGAGGGAAGCAGGCAGGGAGCAGCAAGAGAGAGGAAAGGAAGGCGAGGTGGGGACTGAGGAGGAGGAGAGTGAGATTGAGAAGGACAGTGAGAAGGAGAACGGGGGGAGTGAGAAAGAGAATGAGGAGAGTGAGAAGGAGAGGGAGAAGGAGGAGAGTGAGAAGGAGGGTGAGAGGGAGAATGAGAGGAGGGCTCTGGAGCTGTACGAAATGGCAGCGAGGGCGTTCGGCATTCCCTTCCCCTCCCTCTCCCACACCGCCTCCCATGCTGTTTCCACCTCGCGCTCGCAGCAGCTGCAGCATCACCTGATGTCCAACCGAATGCAAGGGCCCGGTGCTTACGTCCTGCCTCCCCATGCACCCACCAATGCACCCTCCCATGCACCCACCAATGCACCCTCCCATGCACCCCCCATGCGGTTCAATGCTGTGACACACCCGCCCCCTCCTTGGCTCCTGTATACCCACCTGTGGCCGCCCGCTCCTCCTCCTCCTCCCTCTCATGCCGCTGCTAACCTGCCTTCTCGCCCCCCTCACCCTCATCCTCATTCTCCGACTCACCCTCCTCCTCATTCTCCGGCTCATCCCCCTCCTCCTGCGGTACCTCCATCCTCCGCCCATCCCTTTCCCCCATACCTCTTTCCCATGCCCTTTCCTCCCTTCTCGCCCTATACTGCCTCCCTTCCCTTTCCTGCACCACCCCTGCCTCGTCTTCCCCTTGCTGCTGCCACTCCCGCCTCTGCTGCTACTGCCACCACCACCATTGGTGCTGCTGCTGCAGCTGCTGCTGCTAATACTGTTGCCACCGTTACAGCTGCAGCTGACGCTGCAAGTAACGCTGCTGCCACTGCTGCCGTCACAGCTGCTGCTTCTGCTGCTGCTGCTACAACCAAACCTGATGCGGTGGCTGTTGCTGCTTCACCTGATGCTGCTGCCACTGCCACGGATGCTGCTGCAATGCCTGAACGTGCTGCCACAGCTGCTACAGCTGAAGCTACAGATGAATCTGCCGCTGCTGCTGCCGCTGCTGCTGCTGCCGCTGCTGCTGCTGCTGCTGCTGCTGCTGCTGCGGCTGCTGCTGCTGGTACTACAGCTGCTGCTGCTGACGGTACAGCTGATGCTGCTGGTGGTGGTACAGCTGCTGCTGCTGATGCTATGGGTGATGCTACAGCTGACGTGGATGCTACAGCTGACGTGGATGCTACAGCTGACGTGGATGCTACAGCTGACGTGGATGCTGACAATCAAGCCCTTGTTCTTCGAACGGTTGACGCTGAAGCTACAACCGGTGATGCTGCTGCTCTCGCCCATACAGACACTGCCTGTAGACATGCGAAGCCCATGCGTGTCCTGCCGCATGTGGAAGCAGAAGGCGCGGATAGAGGGAGTCTGGGTGATGCACGTGTGATGCGTGATGGTGGTAACAGCGAGCAGCGTGTGATGCATGATGGTAACAGCGAGCTGAGAGCCACCGACGACGGGGATACAGACACAGAGAGCCTGGCTCTTGCACTCGCGGCACATGATGGAGCTGCTTCTGACGCGTGTGAGCATATGGAATATCACAACGAGCACATGGTGATGGTCACACAAGGCGGGGTGGATGCTCCTGGACCGGAGGGAGCAGCAGACGTCCACGCCTCACCGTTCATGTCGCCTCTTCCGCCTCCCCTCCCCTCCTCGCCGCTCTCCCTACCGTGTCTCTCCCCCGATACTCGCCTGTCAGAGGGGACGTGTGAGGGCGGGGGAGGAGGGGTGCTGGGATGGGATGAGGAGGGCTGGGAGGAGGGAGGAGGGGATGGTGACGGGGTTGGGATGGGTGAGACGCGGTTGATTGAGTGGAATCAGGAAGAGGCAGCAGCAGGTGCTGATAACGACTCACCTCCTCCCTCCCTCGCTCTCGTCCCCGCACCCGCTCAGCCTTCCCTACCCATACATCCTCCATCCCATTCCCACCTCCACCCTGCTACTCTCCCTCCCGCACCTTCTCTCTCTCCCCCCCCTCCCCGCCGCCATGGCCCCTCTCTCCCTCCACGCCCCTCTCTCCCGCCTCTCCCACCCCCGTTCCCCTGGCACCCTGCTATGCTGCCCTGGCACCACCCTGCCTTCCCGTCCACTCACCCCCCACACAACCCCATAGCTCACCCTCCTCCAAACATGACACCCGCTGATTTTCAGAAGCTGATGCAGCGCCAGATAATGCCTCCCCTTGGCTGGGGGCAGATGCCACCTGCTCCTGGATCTGGTCAGATACCACCTCCCCCTGGTTGGGGACAGATAGCACCTCCCCCTGGATCGGGTCAAATACCACCTCCCCCTGGCTGGGGACAGGGTTGGGGATGGTGGGGAGGTGGAAGCAGGGGTGGGGGCGGGGAGGAAAGTGAGGAGGGGGGGGAGGGAGTGAGGGGGGGAAGGAAGAGACAGAGGAGAGTGAGCTTCTGGGATGGGGGCACTGCGAGGGGAGGTGGAGGGATGTGGGGGGAGGGAGGATGGGCAGCGGCAGTGGATGGGGGGATGGGGAACGGTGGGAGGAGGATGGACGGGCGGATGGGTGGACGGGTGCTGAAGGGCGAGGAAGAAGTGGAAAAGGTGAGATTCAAGTCAAGTTAGTACAAGATGAAGCTAACGACCCTGCCTCCCGCACTCCACCCGCACCTTCTGTGGATTGCCTCCGCAGCATTGCCGCGGCAAGGCTTTGCACGGATGGCCCTATGCCCCTTCTCTTCTCACTCCCCTCGTCCTCTCCCTCTCTGTCGTCCCCTGCAGGACCTCCATCTCCTCCGAATCATGACACCCCTCGAAAGTCTTCCCCCCTCCCTTCTTACTCTCTTCATCCCCTCCCTCTCTCCTGCCTCCCTTGCACATCTCCGCGCACGGGACCGCTCATGCCTCGGGAAAAGCAGCAGCAGTGGCCTCAGCCTTGGGAGCTGTTCCAGTAGCAGCAGTAGCAGCAGCAATTGCAGCAGGAGCACCAGCAGAAGAAGCATCAGCGGGCTCAGTTTTAGGAGCCGTTTCTCAATCCAAATCAGAAGATTTTCTTATCGAAGTTGTTTTCAGGATCAGGGAGCACGGTTACCCCGCCAGCTGACCTGCTAACTGTCTGCCAATTCCATCCAGAACAGACAGTTAGCAGGTCAGCTGGCCGGGTAACCGTGCTCCCTGATCCTGAAAACGACTCCGAGAAGAAAATACGCGCTATTGTGAGAATTCCCTGCATAACTGCGCGAGCTTCGTCCTCTGATTTGGTAAAAAAAACGGCCCACTCCCATCCCCTCTTACCCCTACTTGCCCACTCCCATCCCCTCTCACTCTCCCCTCTCACTCTCCACTCCGCTGCAGGACCCTCGTCTCCTGCGCTCTCGTCTCACAGTGGACTGGCTCGTGCGCATCGCCGAGACCCGCCGGCACTGCATGGCGTCTGCCCCGCTGCATTCCCTGCGGTAGGGTTAACTGTCCATCTAAAAATCTGTCAATGATATCTGTGAATTTGCTCCTTTTTTGTGTTTATTTTTGTTGTTGTTTTTTTTCTTTTTCTTTTTTTTGGTCTCCGGTGTATCTCTCTCCGTATCTTCTGGGTCGACTCAAAACACAGATTGAAGGGGCAGCGCTGGTCCACAATGATGGTGAAAACGAGGGCCCCCTCCCTCCTCCGTGCCTCCTCCTGTTGCCTTCTCCTGTTGTCTTCCTACCCTCCCTAACTTGTGATTTTATCTGGCACACTGGTAATCCGACGTGCTTCTCCCTTGTGGCTTGTGGTGTGTGGAGCAACTTGCAGGAGGGCGAGGCGGATGAAGGGGAAGGAGGGCGCAGCGATGGTCACTTGAGGAAATTCTTAAAAGTGAATTCTCAAAAGTCCTCTCCTCTGTCGCTTGTGGTGTGTGCAGCAACTTGCAGGAGGGCGGGGCGGATGAAGGGGAAGGAGGGGGCAGCGATGGTCCAGCGAGTGGCGGCAGCTGGGGGGATGAGGATGAGGAGGAGGAAAACGAGGAGGATTGGGAGGGTAACCAGGAGGAGAGAAGGGATGGAGGAAGGAGGAGAGGGGGCAGAGGAAGAGGCAAAGGTCGGGGTGTGGAGGGGAGAGGTATACGAGGAAGCAGAGGAGGGAGAGGGGGAGGAGGGGGGGGCAGGGGGAGAGGGCGAGGCGGAGGGAGGGGAGGGGCGAAGAGGCCACTAGAGGCTCTTGCACGGGCCAACCTTCCCAATCTCATCTTTGCTAAAATACCCGTGCGTGCGCCTTCTGTGCTCATATGCTCCCCCTTTGCTAGTGCCGCTCACTTAGAATCACTTGCGCGGGCCAACCTTCCCAATCTCATCTTTGCTAAAACACCCGTGCGCTCTCTTTGCTCATGTGATGTGCCCACTTGCCTTTGAGTCGGCTCAAAAGTCAATAACCACCTCTTGCCCAAACCAACCTTCCAAATCTCATATTTGCCAAGATACCGGCGGTACAATCTCAGTGTTTCTTTTCCCAGCCTTCCTGCTACAAGGGGTTGCCTGCCTTCCATAATAACCTCTCCTCTTATTCTCCTTATGCTCCACTCAACCCTCCCCCCCTCTGCATACCATCTACTCCCCTTCAGGGCGCCCTTGCCTTCACTCCAGCGCCTTCCAGAGCACTGCAGCTACAGCAGGAGGTGGTGCTGCGGGTGGAGGTGCTGCAAGGGGTTGCCTACCCTTACACCCTCGTACCCCATCTGCTCCCTTCTACCCAACCCCCCCTCCACATACCATCTACTTCCCTTCAGGGCGCCTTTCTCTTCAAACCAGGGCCCTCCAGAGCACTGCGGCCACAGCAGGACGTAGTGTTGCGTGTGGAGGTGCTACAGCAGGAAAAGCGGCAGCTCAAAGTGAGTACTGTGATGCTTTATAAGGAGGATGGACGGCTTGAAGTGAGTAATGATACTCCTTTTAGCGAGGACGGTCGGCTTAAAGTGGATTGCAGCCATGGCTTTTGAGGCGCCTCAAAAGTCGCTTCCAGTGATTATTGTTTCCCCTTAAGTGAGCCATGGAGTGGAGTTGCAACAATGGCAGGATGCGGTGATGTGGGTGAGGTGCAACAGCAGGAAGACTGGCAGCAGCTTCAATAATGAAGTGAATTACACTTATAGTGAGGATGACAGGCCAAGGTGAGTGGCGAGTTCGTGCTATGCCTTGTAACTAGCTGAAAGCGCGTGCACGGTGCGCCCGCAAAATGCCGTGTAACAAGGCAGCTTAAGGAGGGTTCAAGCAAGCACTGCTGCGTTAGAGGGAGGGGGGCAGGGAGGAAGGAAGGGAGGAGGGCAGGTGAAGAGGTAATTGGGCCTTGGTTTGCTCTGTGTTTATTGCTTGCACCGTGCGGAGCACAGCTCACTGTTCTTCCATGCCAGAGGAAGAAACTTGAGGCAGGGGATAATCAAACTCCCGTTGCTCCTCATTTCCTTCCCGTTCCCGTTACTCCAGGGGCAGGAGTTTCTGGTGCTGGAAAGGCGGCCCCCCACCCCACCCCCACTGACGGCGCTGAGAGACCGCATGTACCACCTGATAGAATTGGAGCTTAACTGATTGATTGATCTAGAAGGCACTAAGAACAAACAAGGTTGGGTTGAGCAAAGCTAGGGAAAGGATGGGATGAGAATCCTAACAAATCTCCAATTGGTGAGTTGGCAGATTTGCAGGATTACGAGGGAATCCCAACCAGATAGGGTTGGGATTACAAATCTACACCCAACCCGCAAATAACCTAAACCATATAAAATAGAGTACACAAAGTGTTGACAGCCTATCTCTAACACCACCTGCAGGGCAGAGTGACGGAGGAAGAGGAGTTAGTCAGATACATGCAGTCAGATACATGCAGGTGGTACATGCGGTCCTGCATGTATCTGCCCTGCAGTCCCTCAGAGCCGTGAGTGAGCGGCTGGCTTCACATACATGTTTCCGGGAGGACCAAACCGCGAGAGGGAAGGGAAGGGAGACTGAAGGACCCGTTTCCACCATTTGCTTTTGTCTTACTTGAGGAACAGAAGCTCCTTTTGCTTTTGTCTTACTTGAGGAACAGAAGCTCCTTTTGCTTTTGTCTTACTTGAGGAACAGAAGCTCCTTTTGCTTTTGTCTTACTTGAGGAACAGAAGCTCCTTTTGTTTTTGTCTTACTTGAGGAACAGAAGCTCCTTGTGCTGGACAGCCAGCCACTCACAGCATGTGCTGTGAGGACAGCCAGCCACTCACAGCATTGAGGGACCGCATGTGCTGCCGACCGAGAGGACAGGGTCGTGAGGGAAGAGGACAGGGTCGTGAGGGAAGAGGACAGGGTCGTGAGGGAAGAGGACAGGGTCGTGAGGGAAGAGGACAGGGTCGTGAGGGAAGAGGACAGGGTCGTGAGGGAAGAGGACAGGGTCGTGAGGGAAGAGGACAGGGTCGTGAGGGAAGAGGACAGGGTCGTGAGGGAAGAGGCAGTCAGAGGCAGTCAGAGACCCTTGCCTTTAGGGTCTCTAGGGACCCCCGAAGAGGCAGCCAGAGACCCGTTTTTTCCCTTCCCTTGCATGTTACTCCAGGGGCAGGAGTGTCTCGTGCTGGGCAGGGCAGCCAGCCGCTCACTGCCTTACGGGACCACATCTACTGCCTGCAGGACAGAATCGCGAGGGAGGGAGTCACACTCGTTCCGTCCAGTCCCGTCCCTTCCCTTGCCTGGTTTGCCATTCCAGGGACAGGAATTTCTAGTGCTGGGCAGCCAGCCGCTCACTGCTCTGAGGGACCGCATATACTGCCTGCAGGACAGACAGAACCACAAACATGTATTTCCTCCCACCCCTTCCCTTCCGTCTCCTCCAGGGACAGGAGTTCGTAGGCCCTAAGGGACCGCATTTACTGCCTGCAGGACAGACAGCACCACAAACCCGCATCCCCCCCCCATCTCTTTCCTCTTACTCCAGGGACAAGAGTTCCTCGTGCTGGGAAGCCAGCCGCTCACTGCCCTGAGGGATCGCATCTACTGCCTGCAGGACAGGATCGCGCGGGAGCATGGCAAGTCGGTGCCATCTGGGTGCTTCTGTATCGAGGTGAGAGTGATGGGAGGCAGGAGGTGAGAGTGATGGGAGGCAGGAGGTGAGAGTGATGGGAGGCAGGAGGTGAGAGTGATGGGAGGCAGGAGGTGAGAGGGTTGGGAGGCAGGAGGTGAGAGTGATGGGAGGCAGGAGGTGAGAGTGATGGGAGGCAGGAGGTGAGAGTGATGGGAGGCAGGAGGTGAGAGTGATGGGAGGCAGGAGGTGAGAGTGATGGGAGGCAGGAGGTGAGAGGGTTGGGAGGCAGGAGGTGAGAGTGATGGGAGGCAGGAGGTGAGAGTGATGGGAGGCAGGAGGTGAGAGTGATGGGAGGCAGGAGGTGAGAGTGATGGGAGGCAGGAGGTGAGAGTGTTGGGAGGCAGGAGGTGAGAGTGATGGGAGGCAGGAGGTGAGAGTGATGGGAGGCAGGAGGTGAGAGTGATGGGAGGCAGGAGGTGAGAGTGATGGGAGGCAGGAGGTGAGAGTGATGGGAGGCAGGAGGTGAGAGTGATGGGAGGCAGGAGGTGAGAGTGATGGGAGGCAGGAGGTGAGAGTGATGGGAGGCAGGAGGTGAGAGTGATGGGAGGCAGGAGGTGAGAGTGATGGGAGGCAGGAGGTGAGAGTGATGGGAGGCAGGAGGTGAGAGTGAGGCGATGAGCTTCCCATCTCAGCTCACAGCTTTCAGCCTCATGGCCAACTGTCATGTCATCCTCATGGCCAACTGTCATGTCACCTATCTGCCAACAGAAACATCTGTATCTGTTGTGCAGGTATATGTGGTCGGATTACTTAAATTAAACATCGCTACAAATATCCATTGTGATGGTCTTCCAGATTCTCTACCCTTCCCTGCCCACATGCTTCCCTGCCCACATGCTTCCCTGCCCACATGCTTCCCTGCCCACATGCTTCCCTGCCCACATGCTTCCCTGCCCACATGCTTCCCTGCCCACATGCTTCCCTGCCCACATGCTTCCCTGCCCACATGCTTCCCTGCCCCACATGCTTCCCTGCCCACATGCTTCCCTGCCCACATGCTTCCCTGCCCACATGCTTCCCTGCCCACATGCTTCCCTGCCCACATGCTTCCCTGCCCACATGCTTCCCTGCCCACATGCTTCCCTGCCCACATGCTTCCCTGCCCACATGCTTCCCTGCCCACATGCTTCCCTGCCCACATGCTTCCCTGCCCACATGCTTCCCTGCCCACATGCTTCCCTGCCCACATGCTTCCCTGCCCACATGCTTCCCTGCCCACATGCTTCCCTGCCCACATGCTTCCCTGCCCACATGCTTCCCTGCCCACATGCTTCCCTGCCCACATGCTTCCCTGCCCACATGCTTCCCTGCCCACATGCTTCCCTGCCCACATGCTTCCCTGCCCACATGCTTCCCTGCCCACATGCTTCCCTGCCCACATGCTTCCCTGCCCACATGCTTCCCTGCCCACATGCTTCCCTGCCCACATGCTTCCCTGCCCACATGCTTCCCTGCCCACATGCTTCCCTGCCCACATGCTTCCCTGCCCACATGCTTCCCTGCCCACATGCTTCCCTGCCCACATGCTTCCCTGCCCACATGCTTCCCTGCCCACATGCTTCCCTGCCCACATGCTTCCCTGCCCACATGCTTCCCTGCCCACATGCTTCCCTGCCCACATGCTTCCCTGCCCACATGCTTCCCTGCCCACATGCTTCCCTGCCCACATGCTTCCCTGCCCACATGCTTCCCTGCCCACATGCTTCCCTGCCCACATGCTTCCCTGCCCACATGCTTCCCTGCCCACATGCTTCCCTGCCCACATGCTTCCCTGCCCACATGCTTCCCTGCCCACATGCTTCCCTGCCCACATGCTTCCCTGCCCACATGCTTCCCTGCCCACATGCTTCCCTGCCCACATGCTTCCCTGCCCACATGCTTCCCTGCCCACATGCTTCCCTGCCCACATGCTTCCCTGCCCACATGCTTCCCTGCCCACATGCTTCCCTGCCCACATGCTTCCCTGCCCACATGCTTCCCTGCCCACATGCTTCCCTGCCCACATGCTTCCCTGCCCACATGCTTCCCTGCCCACATGCTTCCCTGCCCACATGCTTCCCTGCCCACATGCTTCCCTGCCCACATGCTTCCCTGCCCACATGCTTCCCTGCCCACATGCTTCCCTGCCCACATGCTTCCCTGCCCACATGCTTCCCTGCTGCCCACATGCTTCCCTGCCCACATGCTTCCCTGCCCACATGCTTCCCTGCCCACATGCTTCCCTGCCCACATGCTTCCCTGCCCACATGCTTCCCTGCCCACATGCTTCCCTGCCCACATGCTTCCCTGCCCACATGCTTCCCTGCCCACATGCTTCCCTGCCCACATGCTTCCCTGCCCACATGCTTCCCTGCCCACATGCTTCCCTGCCCACATGCTTCCCCTGCCCACATGCTTCCCTGCCCACATGCTTCCCTGCCCACATGCTTCCCTGCCCACATGCTTCCCTGCCCACATGCTTCCCTGCCCACATGCTTCCCTGCCCACATGCTTCCCTGCCCACATGCTTCCCTGCCCACATGCTTCCCTGCCCACATGCTTCCCTGCCCACATGCTTCCCTGCCCACATGCTTCCCTGCCCACATGCTATGCTTCCCTGCCCACATGCTTCCCTGCCCACATGCTTCCCTGCCCACATGCTTCCCTGCCCACATGCTTCCCTGCCCACATGCTTCCCTGCCCACATGCTTCCCTGCCCACATGCTTCCCTGCCCACATGCTTCCCTGCCCACATGCTTCCCTGCCCACATGCTTCCCTGCCCACATGCTTCCCTGCCCACATGCTTCCCTGCCCACATGCTTCCCTGCCCACATGCTTCCCTGCCCACATGCTTCCCTGCCCACATGCTTCCCTGCCCACATGCTTCCCTGCCCACATGCTTCCCTGCCCACATGCTTCCCTGCCCACATGCTTCCCTGCCCACATGCTTCCCTGCCCACATGCTTCCCTGCCCACATGCTTCCCTGCCCACATGCTTCCCTGCCCACATGCTTCCCTGCCCACATGCTTCCCTGCCCACATGCTTCCCTGCCCACATGCTTCCCTGCCCACATGCTTCCCTGCCCACATGCTTCCCTGCCCACATGCTTCCCTGCCCACATGCTTCCCTGCCCACATGCTTCCCTGCCCACATGCTTCCCTGCCCACATGCTTCCCTGCCCACATGCTTCCCTGCCCACATGCTTCCCTGCCCACATGCTTCCCTGCCCACATGCTTCCCTGCCCACATGCTTCCCTGCCCACATGCTTCCCTGCCCACATGCTTCCCTGCCCACATGCTTCCCTGCCCACATGCTTCCCTGCCCACATGCTTCCCTGCCCACATGCTTCCCTGCCCACATGCTTCCCTGCCCACATGCTTCCCTGCCCACATGCTTCCTGCCCACATGCTTCCCTGCCCACATGCTTCCCTGCCCACATGCTTCCCTGCCCACATGCTTCCCTGCCCACATGCTTCCCTGCCCACATGCTTCCCTGCCCACATGCTTCCCTGCCCACATGCTTCCCTGCCCACATGCTTCCCTGCCCACATGCTTCCCTGCCCACATGCTTCCCTGCCCCCATGCTTCCCTGCCCACATGCTTCCCCTCATGTTCTCCCGCTCATGTTCTCCCCCTCATGTTCTCCCCCTCATGTTCTCCCCCTCATGTTCTCCCCCTCATGTTCTCCCCCTCATGTTCTCCCCCTCATGTTCTTCCCCTCATGTGCCTGTCTTCTCATGTTTCTCCCCCCCGGTACCCTCCTCTTCCCTTCCCACATACGCCTTCCCCACTCCAGGACGTTTTCTACGATGACTTGCGGCAGCCCGGTGCAGTGCGGTACAGCGCGGTGATCCTCAAGTGGAACAGGGAGAAGCGGGCGGCATGGTCGATGCTGGACGAGAGGGAGCGCCGCCGCAACACCCCCCTCGCCCGCCTGCCCCTGCCCGCCCCCGTGCGCGGCATGGCCATGGGTGGCGTAGGATCAATGGGAACCAGCCACACGTTTCAAGAGGATGGGGGCCAGTTTGGTCAGCAGCAGCAGCAGCAGCATCATCAGCAGTTCCACCAGGTGCATCACCATCAGCAGCAGCAGAGGGTGCGGCTGAGTCTAGGGGACGCCCCTCCCCCGGAATACTCAGCTGCAAGGATGGAGACGACCCGGTTCAGAGACCTGACAGTGCGGCCAGGCGCACACTATGTGTACATGCACCAGGTGGGTGTTACTGTCTTACATGCACCAGGTGGGTGTTACCGTGTTACATGCACCAGATGGGTGTTACCGTGTTACATGCACCAGGTGGGTGTTACCGTGTTACATGCACCAGGTGGTGTTACTGTGTTACATGCACAAAGTGGGTTATCATGTTACACGCACCAAGTGTGTGTTGATGTGTTACCATGTCACATGGTTCGGAGACATGACAGTGCGGCCAGGAGTGCTCCATGTTTACATGCACCAGGTGGGTTACCTGCATCAGTAGGGTAACCTTGTTACATGCATTAAGTGGGTGTTACTGTGTTACCATGTCACATGGTTCAGAGACATGACAGTGTGGCCAGGAGCGCTCCAGTGTACATGCACCAGGTGGGTTACATGCACCAGGTGGGTTACATGCACCAGGTGTGTTACCATGTTACAGTCTTACACACCTACCAGGTGTGTCTCATGCAAAAGGTGGCTTGACCATTTCTGCATCCTTCCTTCCTCTAATTTCACTTCTCCCTCGGTTTCATCCTTCAGCAAAAGGTGTGTTTTCATCTTCCTCTACTCCTCTCCCTCACCCCTCAATTCATTCCCATTTGCACTGCTCCACCCCCATTCCCCCTTACTCCCACCAGGGTGCATGCAGGCATGCCTTTCACATCACTGACGTTCGCCTGCTGCACCCTCTCGACTCGCTCAACTCCACCAGATGCCCCCTTCTCTCACCCTTGTCTCTCAATTTATTCCATTTGCACTGCTCCACTCCCCCGTTCTTCCTTACTCCCACCAGGGTGCATGCAAGCATGCCTTTCGCATCACTGACATTCGCCTGTTACACTCACTCGACCCACTCAGCGCGGCCGAATATCCCCTTCTCTCACACGAGCCACGCTGCTACCTGCGCCGCTGCAGCGTGTGCGATGTGAACTCAAGCACGCGGGTGGTGTACCACGATAAATTGCTCGCTGTTGATCCGTCCTTTTTGTGTGAGCAATGTTACCACCTCTTACATTATGATGAGGAGGGCAATCTCTTGTATAGTGATTTCCAGGTGTACAATTACTATCATGAATAGTCAGTATGTCCTATCTCTCATGATTGTTGGAAACACGTAATTTGAACGCTTCTGTTGTGTGTCGAAACACTAAGTCGTAAACGAGGCGAAGCACAGCGAAGCATCGGCGAGTCAACACTTGGAGGTTGAGAAGTGAAGAAACCGCTGGAGGTTACGCGAAAGTCAAATGTCAGCGACCTTTGACCTGACAAGTACAGCGCGACAGCAAGGACAAACAACCGACTCGCTATTGAGCAGTTGCCCGAGTCGTCACTGTATCGAACCGCAACAGCAAACAGTAAAACAGTTATTAGTTGCATCTTTTCATATTCCTTGTACTCTTATAAAAGCCTTGTATCTCTTTGATTAATCAATCTACTTTGCCCTCACATACCAGCGCAAGGTGGTTCAAAGACTTATCATTATACGCTTCCGCATTTACAACAAGTCCTACCCTGAGTTTAGCCTTGCAAAGATCCTACATGGTATGAGAGCTATCAGGGCAAACTCAACTATTTCAAAGACACCTACCACATCAGAAGGTATGGCAACACAGAAGGAGAGAAGCTCCTGTAACGGCTCTCCCGGTACTACTCCTACTCCACCTCCTGCCTCTGGCCTACAGACAGAGGAGGGCACGGCAACAAGACCAGCAGCCGGGTCTACTGAAACTCCCGCAAATCAAGCCACGGGCTTCGACCCAAGCATGATGGAGAAGTTCTTCTCCTTCATGTCCTTCTACGAACAACATCAGCAAGGGGCACCTGCACAGTCAAACAACAGCAACAACAACAACGACGTGACACCGATGAGCCTCGACGGCTCATCCTACGCACGAGGAATTCAGCAACAGCAACCTACCTTCGCCCCGTACGAACCCCAGCGCGGTTCCGTCAGCTTCATGCCGCGCCAGCAGCCTTCACCTGAGCAAGAGAAGACATTGGACGCACTTCAAGTTCAGTCGCAGTTTGCGCACGTCCTAAAACTGCAAACGTCAAGACCATTCGACGGAAAGGATTTCTTTACCTGGTCATTCGAGTTCGAGCTGATGATGGAAGGCGCGCAGATTCTTGGCTTCTTCGACGGGTCTCTGCCATACCCAACACACGGGACGCAATACGACAAGCAGCAGTACACATATCAGTCAATGATGGCATATACGATCCTACTGAGGAACATAACTCCAAACCAGCAGCAGAACATTCGGTCTTACCGGGGATACGGGAACTCCGCCGAGCTCGCGTACAACCACTTGAAGAACCTGTATCAGGCAACAGACAGCGTCAATCAGAGTCGGTTAATGGCACAACTGACAACAGTGGAAATGAAACCGGGCGAAAAGGGAATGGCGTATATCAGTCGCTGTCGCGAATTGCGCGACAAACTCCTTCGATGTGGAGGGTCGATATCGGAAGACGCCTTCGTCACAGTTGTTATTGGCGGTCTTGGTCCTCACTGGCGCTCCACTCGCGCCATACTCCGAGCTCACGGGAAGATCTCCGAAGCAGCACTCTGCGCCGAAATTCACGCTGAGCAGCAAGACATGGACCTACAAGAGGAGCGGCACAAGAAGAAAACGTCAGTACCCGAATTTGCGTTCCACACTCAACGGCGCTACAACAACAACAACAACCGGCATCAACCAAAACCCGTACCTCCGTTCTGTCATCTCTGCAAGACTTCAGGGCACCCTCGCACACACTGCCCGAATCGACAGCAATCAACGCCACCACAACGTCAACTTCGCCTTTCAAGCAGTCAGGTAGCGTCCACACAGGCGCACCCCACAAGCCAGCCGCAGTCTTCAACAGCATCGCCAACACAATCTGCACAAGGAGCAAGAAACATCGTCAGCTGCATGGCAAGATTGACTGACTCCTGCATCACCGAGTCACCACCGCACTACTCACCGGAAGAGCAACTCGACAACAGTACCCCTCGCCGCGAGTCACTTCAACCGAACCCGACGTATGCAGCCATCGCTCAAAGCGAGCCGTCCGGGAAAGACACTTGGTTCTTGGACAGTTGCTGCGGACAGCATATGTGCTCTTCGGGTCGTTTCGTTCAACGAGAATACCAACTTCAACGCGAAGTTGTCATCACCGTCGCCAACAACCAGAACCTGCGCACACGACGACAAGGCGTGGTTCAACTTCAGTCATGGGAAACGAACGTTATACTACAGATGTCGAAGGTTTTAATAGCAGAAGGACTCGGCTACAACTTACTGAGCGTCAGCCAGCTGATGGCGAAAGGCATCCATCTCGAAGCAGACAGCACCACTCAGGAGTTCAAGCTGTACCACGGGAGAGGCGGACTTTACATCGGGAAGGCGGTCCTGAAGAATAACGTCTTCGTCCTCGACTTCGTTCCAGATTTAGGCACCGCCGACAGCGACGGAATCGTCACCTTCACCTCCTGGACGCACCCACCGGATCTTGATCCTAACTTCAGCCCCGAAGGCTTCTGGTATTCGCACACTATTCCTGAGGCAGAACGAACAAGAGCATTAGCAACGATTCAACACTCGGCAGCAGCAGAGACAACATCGGCAGCAGCAGAGACAACACTGGCAGCAGCAGAGACAACATCGGCAGCAGCAGAGACAACATCGGCAACAGCAGAGACAACATCAGCAGCAGCAGAGACAACACCAGCAGCAGCAGAGACAACATCGGCACCAATCGCGGGTTCTTCAACTGCACCAGCCCCAATCGACGACACTCCACCGACTCCTGCGCAGCAACTGAATCCAACACCACGAGAAGTCCATCGAAGCGCAAATTTCACCGCAGGCTTCTATTCCAACTCCGGTTTATACCGTCGCTCACCCGGACATCGAGCTGGCGAAGATATCTGGCATGCATGAATGGGACATCCAAGCAACACAGTGTTAAACAACACAATCAGAGCAGGCGTGCTCGACAAAGACTCACTGCTTCTAACTGACGGAAGCGAACTTCGACGAGCTCGCGGAACGTGCTTTACCTGCCCCGAAGCCGACTTACCACATCGGCCGTTTGTATCTCATCACAACCCTAGTGCTCCAACTTACGCGCCTCTGGAGAAAGTGTACAGCGACATCCTGTACAATCGCGAACCTGGACAAGGAGCATACAGCTACACCATCACGTTCATCGACGCCGCCACTCGCTATGTCTGGCATCTCAACCTTCCAAGCCGCAACATGGCCTTCGAAGCCTTCGTTGCCTGGCTCCCAGTTGCAGAACGGGAATCGGGAGTTAAGCTAAAGAGCTTCCAGTCTGACGGGGGAGGAGAATACACCTCACAGAGGTTCAAGCAGTACTTGGCAGAGAGAGGAATCAAGCGGCTCATCTCTCTTCCCTACGCCCACCAACAGCAAGGTGTAGCAGAAAGGATGAACAGGACTCTCCAGAACACCATGCGCAAGCTGCTACGTGGCATGCGGCTACCCAACCACCAATGGCCCGAAGCAATGGACCACGCTGTCATGCTGCACAACTTGCTCTCGTCATCATCGCTCCCGAACAACGCATCACCGCACCTGCTGTGGACAGGAAAACAGGGCAGCACAAAAATGTTGAGAGTTTTCGGCTGCATGGTACAGTACCGACCCCCAGCTGCACGAGCCGGCCGATTCTCCCAACGCGCACAGTGGGGTCTGCACCTGGGCATTGAAAAGAATTACAACGCGTGGAAGATTTTCGACGTCCACTCAAAGGAAACAGTAGCAGCACGTGATGTCATTTTCTACGAGCGACTCACACTTCCGACGTACCTTGCCAACCTGGAAGAAGACCGGGACCCCACAGGTGGTTTTCATGGTGACCGAGCCTTCGCCTCGGCAGCAGACGAAGCTGACTGGGACGAGCAGAACGTGGATGAAGCCTCGGAGGAAGCCGGACCTCTCCCTTACTGCTCTGTCGACGTCCCAATGGATGGCGAAAATCCTCGCGAAAGCGTCAACGCCGAAGTATATTACCACTTCGCCGACAACGGTTACGCTACACCTGCAAGAGTCAACACCAACGAAGCAGAACGCATAGGGCCCAATTTCATACATGACCCAGAAGCGGGAGACGAAGCAGCTTATCCCGAGGACACGACACTTCCCCGCTACACACAGAGTGGCCTCCAGATACTCGGCCTCGTCACCGCAGTCCACGGCGCAGCGATTCCTAAGGAGCCTGCCACAGTTCAGCAGGCTCTGGGGGGGGAGCATAGGGAAAAATGGCGCGAAGCCATGGACAAGGAGCTGAAAGCGCTGGAAGAACGGAACACCTGGAAAGTCGTTCCCATCGGCGTGGCACGCAACAAAACGGTACTCACCGGAAAATGGGTTTTCCGTGTAAAAACAAAAGCAGACGGCACCATCGACAAGTTTAAGGCGCGCTGGGTCGTGCGCGGTTTCGACCAAGAGCACGGACGCGACTTCACCGAAACATTCGCTCCGGTCAGCCGACATACCTCATTGCGAATTCTCCTCGCAGTAGCCGCCATGAAGAAGAAGAAGCTGCGGCAAATCGACGTCGCCAATGCATTTCTCTACGCACCTGTTGACGCCAAAATCTTCGTCGAACTACCACACAGCTCCAACGGAGAGCCCAACCAAGTCTGTCAGCTGCTGAAGTCCCTGTACGACATCAAACAGGCCCCGAGACTGTGGCAACAGTACTTGCACGCTAGACTCATCCGCATCGGATTCCGCCAACTACCGCACGACCATGGCATGTACCGGCTCACGAAAGGCGATGACTACATCTTACTGATCGTCTATGTAGATGACCTACTCTACATCGGTTCGACCGACAGCGTTACTACCTGGTTCGAAGGGGAGCTGCAGCAGGATCTTACTCTCACAGTGTCATCGACCGTCACGCAATACCTCGG